TTTATTCCAAAATATTGCATAAAAATTTATCAAACTTGATCATTGAGGTTTTAGATGCCTCTTACGTTTTGCACCTTGCAGTGTGGATTTCCGCCCTCCCGTCACCCTGTCCTCAGAACAAGGGAGAGAGGAGGGGGCTCCCAGCCCTGGCAGAGCAGGGCCGGGAGCCCTCTGACAGCTTCCAGCTGCTTCGGCATCCAGCAGACTCCCTGCCTTGGGAGTGGTGTTTGGTTGGTCTCCCCTCCTCTCATCAGACACGTGATCTGATTAGCTCCTCAGATCCCCTCTCTCCCAGTCTAGCCTTAGTACTCCAGGTTCCCCTTAGTTGAGCCGATTATGACCCGAGACCTGCCCTGTTTTCCTCCATCCTAGGGCCCCTTCCGGTCTGCCACTTGTGCTCTGCGGGAGCATCTGCTCAGCGTGGGGCGAGCACCCCGATGCTGGTCTGCGTCCCGTGGTCCTGGGAGCCCAGCCCGGGCTGAGGGACGGGCGGGGTGCCCCGAGACTGCAGACAGACCTCGGTTAGCAGGAAGATAACCACACTGAGGGTGGGGGACTCTAGGAGATGGGTGATCTTAGAAAGACCTTTACCTCTGTGAGCCTCAGGGTTTCTTTTTGTGTTTTTTTTGTAAAATGAGAGTGTTAATATTTTTCTGCCTACCTTATAGAACCATAAAAGAATCAAGTGGGATGATGAGGAGAGGACTTTGTGAATAGGGTTTTATTTGATATTTTCCCTTCTGTCATAAAACAAACAATTATTTTTATAAAGACGATCTTCAGGTCTGCCACATTATTTGACCTAAATCCAGGAGAGAGGTCCAGGCTGATTCAAGGCCAGGTCCATGCCTGTCTTTAACCAGCCGTCTAAAGCAGGTCCCTAGGGAAGCTGGAATCCCCACCCCGCCCCACCCAGCCACACCCCTACCTGCCCAGATCCATCACAGCATAAAACATAGTGGATGAGGCCTAGGGGGTAGGTGTTTTTTTTTAATGTCTCATCTGAAGACTTTTCTTTTTTATAGCTTTATAGGGCTTCCCTGGTGGCTCAGAGGTTAAAGCATCTGCCTGCAATGTGGGAGACCTGGGCTTGATTCCTGGGTCAGGAAGATCCTCTGGAGAAGGAAATGGCAATCCACTCCAGTATTCTTGCCTGGAGAATCCCGGGGATGGAGGAGCCTGGTGGGCTACAGTCCACAGAGTCACAAAGAGTCAGACATATCTCAGCAACTTCACTTCACTATAGAAGTACAGTTGATTTATGATAACTATTGAAGGGGTAAAATTTGATGCATATTTTTGAAGCTGTAACTATAATTAAGATAGTACACCTGTACACTCCCCAAAGTTTCTTCTTGCCTTTTTGAAATCCTTCGGTCTACCCCATCCCCATACAACTGCTGATTTGCTTTCTGCCACTATAAATTAGTTGACCTTTGTAAGGGTTTTGTATGATGGAATCATAGAGTATACATTTTTTATTTGGGGAGAGGGAGTTTGGCTTCTCTCACTCAACACAATTATTTTCAGATGCATCTATGTTGTTATGTATATCAATAATTCATTTCTTTTTATTGTTGAGTCATATTCCATTGTATGGATGGTATACATATTGTATTCTCCTGTTCATGGACATTTGAGTTTCTTGCAGTTTGGGGCTGTTACAAGCAAACTTCTATGAACATTTGTGTTCAAATATTTGTGTGGACATATATTTTCATTTCTTTTGGATAAATACCTAGGAATCAATGTATGTTAAACTGTGTGGAAAAGTTCGGCAGTTTCTTAAAAAGGTAAACAAAGTGGAAGTACCATTTACAGCCTTATCAGCAGGGTATGACTTTCAGTTCATTTACATTTTTGTCAACATTTGGTATGATTAGTCTTAATTTTAGCAGTTCTGGTGGGTGTATGTAGTCTTAGCTCATTGTGGATTCAATTTGCATTTCCCTGATGATTAATGATGTTGAGCATGTTTTCCTGTACTTTATTTGACATAGTGTATCCTCTTTGGTTGGAGAAGGCAATGGCAACCCACTCCAGTACTCTTGCCTGGAAAATCCCATGGACGGAGGAGCCCGGCAGGCTGTATGTAGTCCATGGGGTTGCTAAGAGTCAGACACAACTGAGCGACTTCACTTTCACTTTTCACTTTCATGCACTGGAGAAGGAAATGGCAACCCACTCCAGTGTTCTTGCCTGGAGAATCCCAGGGGCGGCGGAGCCTGGTGGGCTGCCGTCTATGGGGTCGCACAGAGTTGGACACGACTGAAGCGACTTAGCAGCAGCAGCATCCTCTTTGGTATAGTGTTTGTTTAAATATTTTGCACATTAATGGGCTTCCCTGGTAGCTCAGCTGGTAAAGAATCTACCTGCAATGCAGGAGACCCTGGTTTGATTCCCGGGTCGGAAAATCCCCTGGAGAAGGGATAGGCTACCGACTCCAGTATTCTGGCCTGGAGAATTCCCATGGGGTCGTGAAGAGTGGGACAGAACTGAGTGACTTTCACTTTAATTTTGCTGTCTTGATATTTAGTTGTAAGAGTTCTTTATATATTGTAGATGAAAGTCTTATGACACATGCTTTGCAAATCTTTTCTCTAGTTTATGGCTTACCTTTTTATTTTTGTAACAACATGTTTTGAAAAGTTAGGGTTTTTGTTTCAATGAAGTTTGATTTCTTGATATTTTGTTTAACACTGGTGCATCTTATGTCTTATTTAAGAAATTTGCCAAACCAAAAGCCACTTAAGATTTTTTCCTGTTTTCTTCTAGAAATCTTATAGTTTAAGCTTTTCATTTTAGGCGTTGGCCCATTTTAAGTTAATTTTTAATGGTAAAGTCAAGGCATTTTGTTTTTGTTTTTGGTATATGGACCTCTAGTTTTTCTAGCACCATGTACTGAAAAGACTGTCATTTCCCCATTGAATTGCCCTTATACTTCTGTGGAAAACCAACTGACCATATATGAATGGGTTTATTCCTAGACTCTATTCTGTTCAGTTTATCTGTACATGTATCTTTATGCAGATACCACATGGTCTTGACTACTGTAGATTCTAATCTTGGAGTCAGATAATCTAAGACTTCTAACTTTATTCTTTGTTTTGAAATTTTGGGGGGTTATTATAGGTCCTTTTAATTTCTATATGAATTTCAATTTCTATATGAATTTCAGAGTACCAGTATCAATTTTTACAAATAACCTATTGGGATTGTATTGACTCTAATAAGAAAACTAGTGGAGAATTGATATTCTAACAATATTTAATTTCCTTTTCCATACAAACAGTTTATCTGCCTTTTATTTCGATTTTATTTAATTTTTCTCAGTAGTATTTTACAGTTTTGGTATATAGGTCTTGCACATCTGTTGTCGAATTTATTCAAAAATATTTCATATTTTTTACCCCATTGTATGTAGTATTTTTAAAATTTCAATTTTTCACTGTTTACTACTAGTATATAGAGATAGAACTGATTTTTCTGTGTTGACTTTATATTGTGAGCCCCCCACCCCCGCCTTTAAAACTCAGCTTCACAGAGTGGGAACCTTTAAATACTGAGATGCAGGGCTTTTACATGATATGATAAGCATTTACAACAGCAGGCCAAAACATCAGCATCCTTTCCCGTTTTAAGTTAATCGCACTCTAGCGGTCCTGCAGCCAGCTGTGGCTCTCAAGGACGTGAGAGGAGGGAGCGGCATGGTGAACCTGACTCTGCAGGCAGCGCAGCACCAGGCTTCCTGGGGTGTTCCTGCGGGTGAACGGGGCAGGCTGGGAATGCACGCAGCCCCTTTAAGAGCCCAGGGCCAGCCCGCCATCAGGCAGCTGGGAAGGCAGTCCAGGAGATAAGAAAGGGTAGATTTCAGCCAGGGTGTTGAGCCACAGTGACGGGGCTACTGACAGACAAGAACAAGGGGTGGTGAGAGGAGATGCAGGCTGGTACGAGCTGGAGCAGCTCCGCCCACTGGGGCTGGAAAGGAAAAGGGGCTGTTAACTGTGGCGTGCGGAGAGAGGGCACCGACCTTCTCCAGCATAGCCTATCATGTTTATGATTGTGGTTTAAAAACCCCACGAGACGCCTTCAAGGCTTCATATGTGGTAAATGTTCAATAAATATGTTTATTGAGCCCTATATGCTATGCTTCCTCTACTGATATTCTTATGCTACAGCATACAGTGAGATCCTCTGTTACAGGGTTTGGAGACTACCTGATTTCTTGCTCAAACTAGAAAAATCCTGTCAAGGACTTACTCTGAAAAGCTTGGAGCTGCTCATTTGCACATATCTGCATAGATTTGCATACATCCTACATGTAGATACTTTTATGCTGGATTTAGATTTTCCCAAATCAGTTGCCTATGTTTAAAGGGAAAAAAGAGGTGATTTGTCTCTGCTCATTCCTGCCCACCTTTCTTTTGCATCCACCAAAGATGCAAAAATGATTTCTACAACTCTGAAATATAAAGACTACTTGTGCCCCAGAGTTTGTGTAGATACAAGCAATCCTTTGCCTGTCAAGTTATTTTCCTTTTTCATTTCTGTTACAGTTCCTAGCTCCAAACTCCTGGGTGAGTCAGGGAATCATTAAGGCAAAGAAACCCTCTAGCTAAACAGTCAGGAACTGCAGTTGCTTAGAAGCCTTCCGGGATTCTGCCCTGTACCTGGACAGGGAGGCTAGAGGCGCTTACACTGACCTGAAGCCTGCCTTCCCACTGTTTCCTGGCCCAGGGCTAGGCATGCTATGACTACCTTTGTCTGTTCTCTCTCCTCCAGGAATAAATAAAAATATCATCCCCTCCCCCCTGATCCTGGCTCCTCCATTGGCCTGCTAGGCAAATATTTCATAATGTGGGCTCATCCAATTGGGCATCATGCCAGAACCAAGCGCCTCAGGTTGCCCGTGTGCTCCAATCAGGCAGGGCAGCCTGGGTGGGACTGGAGGGCTCCTGCTCTGCACATGGGAGGCAGCGGCATTACTCAGGTGGAAGGCACCAAGGCAGGAGTTCCCGCTTTCTCGGAGCTGGGAAGAGGGGTCGGGGCTGGCCATCTGCCAGCTGGAGGCAGCCAGCACCGAAGGGGTTAAAGCCAGTCCGCATGTGTGGCTGTTAATGATTGCTACCCACCAGGGGCCTGATGAGTGTTAAAGGAGAGCCTTTTCCCTATTCCTGAGTGTGAAAGGAGTCAGAGCAGAGGGCATCGCAGAGAAGAGCCGGTGAGTGAGTGGTCCTCTGTCTCGCTGTCTGTCTGTCTGGGTGGCTCTGGAGCAAGTGAGGGAGCACCAGTATTCCCATACATCAGCTGGAGTGGGCTTTGTTACAACTGGACGCAAATTCTCAGCGTGGGGCCAGGTTTCAGTATCACTCCTATTTATTAGAAGGAAATCTTCAGAGTTCTCTTAGTCCAAGGGGGTAAACCACTTGGCACAGATGCCAGAAATACAAGTCATTGTCTGCCCCGCTGCAGAGACAGTGGTTTTGTGTGCCCCCCTGCACGCAGAGCTGGAACCCGGCTCCCCCCTGCTCCCTGAGCCATTGTCTCCAGAGCAGGGGACTCGGGAGCTCTGGGCAGAAGTGCCGTGGGCCTCCTCACAGCCATTTCCTGGCCCAGCACCGAAGGAAGGCAGCGAGGGCTCAGCCAGAGGAGGCTGGCCTAGCTGTGCCCTGCATTTTACCCCCTGTTCTGCACGCCAGGTGTGGACAGGTGGGGGCAGGATGCATGAGGGGGCGCGGAGTAGAGTGTTGGCGTGGCACTCTGCTCATTAGAAGACAAAGTTTGTCATGTGGGAACAACGGAAATCCAGGGAGAGAGCCAGTCTTCTGGGCTTAGATATCTGTTGTCCCCTTCCCCCAAACTGCCAACTCAGGGCCCTCATTCCTTCTAAATATTGGGGCTCTTTGACCGAGGCACGTTCTCATGTCAGGTCAGACTTGTGCAGGGAATGTGGACAAGAGTTTCTTGGCTTTGTTGGTGGAGGTGCTAGGTGTCTTAGCTGATGTTGTGTGTGTGTATGTATGTGTGTGTGTGTGTACTCATGCGTGCACAAAAAATGAAAGCCTGATTTGTCTCCAAAGCAGAAATGTTGACTTTACCCCCCTCTTAGCCAGGAGCGCTTTTGTCCCCTGCCTCTTTCTTGGGAGGAAAAAGGTTCGATGACATAATGGTAATGGTAGGCGGCCCTGGAGGGGTCTGTTGGGTAGGAACAGAGATCTCCCTGTGCCGGTCTTGAAGGCAGATTTGGAAGATAAGGCAAGTCCAACCCTGTGGCTTTCAGCTGTGGTGCTTCCTCCAGCTAATCTGCCCACAGGCAAACAGAAACCAGGCACGAGAAGGGGGCGGTGCCAGCTACCAGACCCAGCGGGGCAGGAGCGACAGCAGCCGTGTTTCTGGGCATGTAAGCCAAGAGAGAGGGGAAAGCAGCAACTGGGAGAGGAGCTGCCCCTTCTGGTGTTCTGCCTTGTGCTAAGAGTTAGCCGCAAGGATGACTAGCCGCTCTCCATCCTCAAACTTCCAGGAGAAGCACCACAGAGCAGTCGGTGTTCCCAGGCAGGGCAGTCTTCATGGGCACACAGCCTTTGTCGTGGGCCTGCATCCTCAGAAGGGCTTGGTTTAATGCTCTCCTGTCACTGTCCTGAGCATCATGATTTTTGAGCAAGGAGCTCTGCCTTTTATTTTGCTCTGGGGCCTGCAAATTTTGTAGCTGCACTATTCCCAGGCCAGCCACAGGGAGCAGCATCAGGATGGTGTTCAGGTGCTCCGAAAGGCACCGGTAGACGTACCTGTTACTCAGGTGTTCCTACCAAGACTGGCTTCCGTCCTGACCAGGACCAAGCCCGGCGTCCCTTTTGTCCCCTCCAAAGCACATGTGTCTTCTTGTCTCAGCATCCCCACCTAGGCCTCCTTCAAGGCTACTGCATGGCAGGGGGACAGGGCAGGGGCCCACAGTGACCCTCCCCGGTTGCCCCCGTCCACTTCGCTTTTCTTCCCAAGATCCTCTGTCCCTTGTCTGGGCTCCAGGCAGGGTCTAGCCTGGGAACACCTCTCCCATTCCTCTGAGGTCTTCTCCCCTCCCCGCTGTAAGCCAGTTGTCAATGGACAGCTCTGGCACCTGCTTCGGGTGCTGTTTAAGAGCAGACTGTACCCCTGGGATTAGCACGGGTTCCAGGCTGGGTGGGGACAGGGAGTGCAAGGGAAGGAAAACCCTGAGCCTGCTGTCTTCCCTGCAGTTCCTTTCCCTCTCTTCCGCCCTGTGCCGGCGGCTCCTGGCACTGGGGAGGCAGGACCAGGCAGACCCTGCAGGCAAGCTGTCTGGTCTTCCCCGCCTCCAGCCTCACTAGCAGCTGGCCAATCCAAGAAGGAGAAGGAGGCAAGAGGAGGGGCCGTTCCTTGCTCTTTTTCCTTTGCCAGTCTCCGTGATCCTCTCTGTAACCTTTCTCAATTGCCTCTCCCAGGGCCTGCGCCCACTAGGGCTGTTAGTAACAATATTCTCAAACCCTGGAGGAGTCTTAGTGCATCTATTTTAAAATGATAGATATCCACATTAATTTTGACTGGACTTTCAGATGTATCCTTTGATTTTAGATGTTTAACTTTTTGTTGTTGTTGTCGGCAACAGATTTCCTTTTCCTTTTTCTTCTTTCCTTAGCTTAGGGCTATAAGAGAACTTGCCCTCCCCTGAGGTCACTGACCCCAGGTCAGCTGGTGGAAGGACAGGCTGGTTTGGAGTTACATGTTTTATAGAATCCACAATTATTAGAACTGGAAGCTGGCTTAAAGAACACCTAGCCCAGTGCTGTCCACGGAATATCCACCGTGGTAGAGCATGCCTCAGCTTTCCCGTCCAATTTCGTGGCCTCTAGCTGTGGTGGCTCTCAAGCCACAGCAGATTGTGGCTAGCCTGACTGAGGAACCGAAATTATAATTTTATTTAATTTTAATTAATGAGAATGTAAATAGCTGCATATGACTAGTGGCTACTAAAATGGATGGGATTGTGCTCCTTGTCTTATTTTATTCTTTTATCTTATTAATGTTTATAACATCGGCCACTGACTGAGCAATTGTTCTGTGCCGAGCGTTATCCTACGTGCTTTAAATGTGTGACCTTGTTTAATCCTCTGAGGGCTTCCCAAGTGGCTCAGGCGGTAAAGAATCTGCTGGCAATGCAGGAGACCCAGGTTTGATCCCTGGAGAAGGGAATGGCTGCCCCTTCCAGTACTCTTGCCTAGAGAATCCCATGGACAGAGGAACCTGGTGGACTACAGTCCATAGGGTCGCAAAGAGTCAGACGCGACTGAACAACTAATACTTTCACTTTAATTCTCTGAGCAATTTGGTATCACTCCATGTCCCAGGTGAGGAAACTGAGACCCAGAAAAGTTGAGATGTCAGTACTGGTCAGCTACAGCCATGCGCCTGCCATTCTTTGTTTTTAAGTGACAACTGTCTTCAAAAGTTCTCTAAGTTCTTTCCCTTCCAGGTCTCACTTTCTCTTTCTGGGATGTCGGGGGAGCTCACAGTGGTTTTTCTCGGCACGCAGAGGTGGAGACAGCAGTGACTGTCTCCAGGTATGGCCGTTTTCTGGCTGGTTCCCCTGGTCTCCAAGCTTCTCTTGTATCTTTTCTGCAGCAGATAGCGATCTGGGAGAGCTCTCTGTCTTCCAAGCCCTTCACGAGCTCCCCGAGTCCATGGGAAGTTCCAGACTCCTCGCTCCCGTCAGGAGGAGGTGTTCAGAGTTTCCCACATTCCGTCTGTGTCCCTGCTGTCCCGGTTCAGGAGAACCAAGCAGCTGAGTGCTCCCGGCCGGGGAGTGAGGGGCAGGGCTCACACTGGGGCTTTGCTTCCAGCCCACCTGCCCTTGCATCTGCACATTGAGCCCTGTGAGGTGGGGACCTCCTTCCTCCCAGAGCAGTTGCCTCGGCCCTGCCCTCCCACTGATTTCCTGCTCGCTTCTCCAGCAGACAAAGCTCTGCTCAGTAGACTCTTAGCAGAGCCTGGCTGCCTGATTGGAAGGGAGAGGCCCGGGAGTGGGCAGAGCCCGGCTGTCGGACCCCCGGGTGATAGGCTGCACAGCTGAGCTCTCCTACCTCACTCCCAGCTCAGCCTCCCGGAGCAAAGCAGCACGCCCCGTCCTCCGCCGGGGGCAGACTGCTGGCCACAGGTCTGGCCAGACAGTTCACAGCCACCCCACCAGACGGCCGTCCGCTCCCCGGGTGTGAGGTGCCGGCCAGGGCACAGGGACACAGAAGGCCCAGGCTGTGAGCGGTTTGTGTGTGGCTGCACCTGCACGCCTCTGCACTAGGCAGACGTTTTGGGGCCCCTCCCACCCCACGTCACACACAGTCCCCGGACCTGTGGCCCTCGGGGGTTTGCAGTGGGGGGGTGTGAGCTTCCTTGCTGCCTTCTTGCAGCAGGCCTTGCAGAGCCGGAGTCCTCCTCCCGAATCTCGAGGCTGTCTCCCTCTTCTCTCCTGGAGGTAAGGAGCTCAGGCTGGAGACGTGACGGGGACTGGGGACAACCAAGGAGATGCGAACTTTGTCTTGTATCTCTTGTTACTGTGAGAGAGTGAGTGAGTGAAAGTCACTCAGTCGTGTCCGACTCTTTGCAACCCCACAGACGATACAGTCCCTGGAATTCTCCAGGCCAGGATACAGGAGTGGGCAGCCATTCCCTTCTCCAGGGGATCTTCCCAACCCAGGGATCGAACCCAGGTCTCCCACATTGTAGGTGGATTCTTTACCAGCTGAGCCACAAGGGATGCCCCTTGTTACTATAGCTGAGGCAATGAATCTCAGCTCCCCTGACTTGCATGGGCCTTGCCTTGCTCCCAGGCCGAGGGCCAGGGACCTTGTGAGTTTAATGTCTTCCTTGTGTTCACCCCTTCCGAGCATCATCGCCTTTATTCCTCTGCCCTCTAGTCTGGTAGGATATTTAAGCACAGCACAGTGGACCCCTAAACAGGCCACCACTCATTCTTAAAATGAGGAAACTGAGGCAGAAAGAGCTTGACCCTTGCGGATTGCTGGCTTGGGCACCAAGGAGGCATTCGCAGCTTTTCAGGGTGTGGAAGGAGGGGGCCGGCCCAGCTGCATTACTCTTCAAACACTCACTTGGTACAGTTCCTTCCCTTGGGGTGGGTGGGGTGACTGCTGTCTGCAGGACGCCAGGACCAAAGCTGCGGAGCTAGGAAGGGGGAGGGCTGGTTCCAGCGACCTTCTGGAGGCCTGGAAGCGGCAGCTGGGCTGCCTCAGTGTCTGGAGAGTAGGGCTTTGGGGTTCGGCTCAGCGCTTGTCGGGCAAGGGGAGGTAATTAATTACTGTCCTGCTCTTGCCTCTGGGGACTTTTTCCCCATTGCTGACCGTCGGGGGAAGCAGCTTGGAGGCTGAGGGGAGGGGACTGGAGCCCTTTCCCTCTGTTCTGTCTGGATTAGCGGGGGGCCCCGGGGGAGGTTGAGAGAGGGAAAACGTGGACCTGGACCACAGTCACCCCTGGTTCGCCTTCATTTCTTCTCCCCTCAGCAGGGATGGCCAGAAGGACGGGGACAAGGAGCGTGAGGAGTCGGGGAGCCAGGTTGCCCCAGTTTTCCAAGTTGGGTCACAGTGTACGGAGGGAGAATGCCTCCCAACCTGCTTGAGACAGCTTCTTTTTTATTTTAGTCTTCTATTTTGTTATTTTTTAAAATTTATTTTTATTGAAGTATAGTTGATTTGTAATGTTGTTCATTCCTGTTATATGGCAGAGTGATTTGGTTATACACATTCTTTTTTTTTTAATATTCTTTTCTATTATGGTTTATCATAGGATTTTTTTTTTTTTAACTGAAGGGCAATTGCTTTACAATGTTGTGCTGAGACAACTTCTGAGACCAGAATCATCGTTTTAACACCTGAAAGGGCTGTCAGTGTTCAGACAGTGAAGCAACGGTCATCCCAGGAATGACATTTAATAATTTATCAACCAGAAAGGACACTGGCCTGGAGTCCTGGATGGCCCTAAGATATTTCTGGATCACACAGAGGAGGGGAGGGCCAGTTATGAAAGTACTGAAATTCTTCCTTATTGGAAGAGTAGCCCTTTACCAACTAATATGGAAGAGGCATGGTTATGCTGAATATCCACCCTGTTTATTTTTCAGAAGACAAATGGAGGTCCGTAAAGTAAAATAATGTTTGAAGATAAGATAATGCAAGTTGAGACAGAAGATCAGCGTGAAGATTCCCCATGAATTTCCCGAGTGCTCCCCGCTGCCAGACGCACACCCCACTGAGACACATGCACACACCCACACACACACAGTAAAGTGTCATGTGCTCAGTCGTGTCTGAGTCTTTGTGACCCCGTGGGCGGTAGCCCATCGGGCTGCTCTGACCGTGGGGTTATCTCAGCCAGAATCCTGGAGCGGACTGCCATTTCCTCCTTCAGGAGAGACGTGCATGCGCTCAGATACCCCGTAGTGAAGCACTGCCCTGACTCTCCTGCCCTTACCTGCAGTTGTAGGCTTTCCTGCCTCCTGTTCTGGAACCAAAAGGGATGTCCAGGCCCAGGGGATTATACAGGAGACACCAGGGAAGGACATCCACATAGGATGGCAGGGAGGAAACCTGGATCTGGGGCCCTGATTTGTGACTTTGATCCCCTGGCTACTGAGCCAGGGGCCAAGCTCAGGTCAAAATCACCCCAGTGTTCCATGTGTGATCATGACAGGGGAGGAAAGGTGTTCTGACTCTGGGGCAGTGATGGGGCCGTGAGGATTGGCAGAGGTAAGCGGGAGAGAGCAAGCCCAGGTCTTCCGTCCTCTCTACTTCCTGCAGCCCAGTAGCCAGCTTTTCTCATGTTCCAAGCTTACTTGAGGAAGACACTCTCATCTTGCCATTCTGGAAATGACCGTGCACAGGAGGAAGGCTGGAGCAGAGGCAGGGAGGACAGAAGGGAGCAAGTGCAGGTACTGGGCTGACAGCTGGGTCCCCCGAGACTGCAGGACCGCTGCTTTGATCCGTTGGCAGCATTTGGAAAAGACCCAGTGTCTCGTGAAGGTGCCTTTCCCCCCTGCAGTACCTACAGGCGCCGCCAGGTCTGACCCCCTTAGGCCTCCTCTTTGCATGGCTGCAGTAGGCGGGAGAGCAGAGGGGTTTGGGTGGGGAGAGCTTGGCTAGGGAAGCGTATTTTTTCCTAGGAATGATGGAGGTGGATGAGAGGGGGGAACCTCAGGAATCAGGCACATCAGGATTGTTGGGAATGTTAACCAAGTTGGTTTTTAATTGGGACAGAAAAGTGGAGCACATCAAGCTCCTTGAAATGATGATGACATCCAGAGGGGAGGTGGAGAGCGGGAGCCCGACCTTCACTTCCTTTGCAGGCTGCAGAAATTTTCCTGTGAGTGGACAGCCTCAGCTTGGAATTTGTGAGCTGGGGGAAGAAGGAAGTGGGAGGGGTGGGTTGTGGCAGCCCTCCTCCCCGCTCACCTCACCTCAAAGTCCTCTCTCCATCTAATGAGCTGTAAGGCCAAAAGCCAGAGCTTTGTTGGGATGGAAAAACCTGGCTGGCACTCATTCTCAGGAGCTCTGGGGTTGCAGCAGCTTGGTGTTTTGCAAGTAACCAAGAGGAGCTCAAGGTGGAAGGAGTTGAATGTATCTCTCTCGTTGTTCAGTATTTATCACGGTGGGAGCTGTCCATTCTGAGTACGTATGTGTGTGTGTACACGTCTGTGAACATGCATGTCTGCAAAGGGTCCTGAACATCTGGGTTGCTTTTGCTGCTTTTGACTGCATAGTGCCAGGTATCATTCCAGAGAGATGCAGATTCTTAGGGAGTTTGTTTGGAGATCGGTCAGCACACAGTTAACTCCGTAGTGATGCTGTCACTAGCGTCTGCACTTAGAGGCTGCAGGTGTCTCTTGAACTGTGGAAAAGCCCAAACTAGATGAAGGGACAATGCTTAGAAAAGGGAGAGGCTCTGTCTCTTTTCTTTGTAATTTATTGGTTTTGGTACTTCTGGAATGCCAGCCCCTGCTACATTCACAGCCTTCTTAAGCCCGAGACTGTGGTTTTCATTTTCTAGCTCCAGTACTCAGCATATATCTTGATTTGTTTTTAAGCAGAATAATATAGTCATTATGTCTTATATATTAAATGTTTCACATTTTGAAAGTTTCTAGTTATTATTTCATAGAAATAGAAAGTACCTCCTTTGCACATGAGAGAACAAGGGCCAGAGAAGCCCCTCTCGTGTTGGACCTTAGACTGAAAGATCAGTCCTTCCAGTTCTCTTATCACTGATGGCCATTGGGGCCACCTTTGTAGGTGTAGTAGGTGAGGGGACCACCTCGTGGGCAACTCAGCAGTTTAGGGATGCTCCTGCCCCTTTACTGCTTGAGAGTCCCCCTTCCCTTGGGAGGAATTTGAGCAGTCCATTTGGAGGTAGAGTCATAACCATTTGTCCTTGAGAAATGGAGGCCTTTGACGTCCTGAAAGAAAGAAGAAAAAAACTGATTACCTGTCTTTCCTTCCCTTTTTTTTAACAATGTTCAGTACTTGGTAAGTTCCTCCTGGTGTCTAACCTAATGAAGACCTGTCATCTGTGTAGTTTAGTAGCAAAGGAAAAAGAAAAACTCCAGTCAGGTATTCTGTGTGCTCACGTAATCCTGAGGGTTGCAGAGCTCTCGACAGACAGGGGAAACCCTTGAGCCTCTGTCCCTCTGCCTGCGCTATCTTCACCAGGCAGGAGAAGTCATTTAACTTGCAAAGTTAAGCAAAGGCTATGGGAGGCCCCTGAGCTCAGCTTGAAGGGGAAAGGGACATTTTTGCCTTCTAGTGGAAGAAACCTCATTTCTCAGTGCAGCTCAACACCTCCTTCTGTGTACATGAGCTTAATTTTCTTCCCTTCCTAATGAAGATGGAGCAAAGCCAAGCTGCATAGTCAAGGGGGAGCCCGGCAGGGAAGCTGAGTGAGGGGATGAGGGGCAGAAATAGAGCTGTTCTCATGGAGAGGAAGTAATTAACTTTAAGAGAGAGCAAAGATGAGGGAGCCCTTGGTAATAGAGTGTCAGACTCCAGATGCAGCTGGCTAAAAATGAAATCAGAGCGTAGGGAGTTTCTTTTGTTCATTCATTCACTTATTCATTCAACAAATATTTATTGGGACCTACTGTGCACAGGCAGAGATCCCAAGCAGGCTTCAGGAGAGGGCCCAGCTCGCCATGACCACAGCGGGGCTCCAGGAACTGGCTTAGGGACGGGGAGAGGTGGATTTGCAACGTGAAGCCACTTGTCATCAGGATAAAGCATTTGCAGAAGCACCACTAAATGGCTGAATATATTGACCTTTTGGATTTAGGATTAGTTGCTTAAATATCAGCCCCAGCTATATCCGACCAGCTTGTCTCATCACGGGTTAAGTAATAATGTTGTCTTTTCTACTCACTGATTGCATTGTTCTCTGACTGGGCTCAGTCTTCAAACCAAACAATTAGATTAGCTCCTCCCTTTCAGTGTCTGTTGACATCACAAAATTGCTGCAACAACAGACTGTGATGTCAACGGAATGCCTGGCGCTGCTGAAAGGAACCACATTGGTCAGAAAGGATTCTGTCATCTGAAGATAAAAATGGAACAATAGCCAAAGCTAGAGAAACTAAAATTTGATATCAAAAAAGAACATCTGTAAAAAAAAAGAAAACATCTCAGACAGTGTAACATAATGGTGGGTCTGGAGCATCCTTTACTGAAACCCTTCACAAACAGCCAAGGCACTTACTGAGACGGATTGCAGAGCAAGCCTGCTGGTGGCAGGGGCTTGGAAGAGATGACTGTCAGAAGCCCCTTGCAAGGAGGGCCCTTGCACTGTAAGACATGGAGGACATCAGGAAAAGAGGAGATGTGACCATCTTCAGTCTCTGGAGAGTTCAGAGTAGCTAACAACGATGCAAGCCTCCTTGCCCCAAGCAGATCTGACAGCCTCCAGCTGGGATTTATCATATTGCATCTGGGCAGATTTACAAAAATTAACACATGATGACCCCCCACCCCCTGCCTTGAGCCCCATTTACTACCCTCTTCCTAATAAGATTTGGGAAGAAGCTTTTCTGCCACTTCACCCGAGCAAAGAAGTAAGTCATCACCACCCACTCTGGCTCCACGACACACACGACACATGCTTCACTTGCTCATCTGCTGGGCCGCCCCAGGCAGAGGGTGAGTGACCTGGGCAACAGCCTGGGGCGGCGTCTGGAGGGGTCGTGTAGGGGGACGCTGCCGAAAAACCTTGTTCACTGTGCTCCTGTCTGCACAGAAGAAGACTGGGCAGGCTGAGAGCAGAGAGAGGAGACCCCGTCCGTCTCCGCTTCCAGCATCAGCATGGCACAACAGCCGCGCGTGAATCCGGAGCTTCCTTTAACTCTGTGCCCACGGGCTCAGAAGGGTCTCTCTAAAGCGAGTAGGTTTCACCCAAGGGCCTGTGTTCTGGGCTAGGAGGCTGGGCGACAGGGCAGGCTGGCGCGGGTTTCTGCCATGCCGATGGGGATGCAGCCCGGATTCCTCCACCCCCCAGCGACTCCGTGTGCTTAGCGCCACGAGGTCAGACTGCCTAGGAGTGGTACACCTGCGCTGTGTGCCTGCTCCATCTCCCTGCATTCGCCGTTTCTCCTTGAAGACCTGAGCTGAGGCTGTCGTCCCCCACTCACTCATCCTGCCCCCGGCGCTTTGCCCAGCAGCATTCTGATTGAATGCTGGGAAGCCACAAGCCCCCCTAGGGCACCCGGGCACCCCTGCCACCCCAGCGAGAGGCCCTCCCCCTCCCCGGTGCCAGAGCTGGAGGAGGGAACCAGCAGTGCCTGCTGCCACCACACGCTGGAGCCCGGCCGGCACTGCGAGCGGGACCGGAGGACTCACTTCTCAGAGGGATGCTACGAGCAGGCTGGCTGCCGGGTCCTCTGAGGCTGCCGCACAGGGGCCAGAGCTGCCAAAAAGATGCTGAAGTTTCGAGCTGATCGACGGGTCAGGTAGGGTTTCTGCAGTGGACTGTGAGCCAGGTGGAGTGAGAGCTGAATTGGCAGGTCACTGGCTCTGGGGGCGTCACAGTGAGGGGCCCGCCCCGTGTGACCTGGAGATCAGAGTAGTTAGGTCAGTGGTTGCTGCATTGCAGTGCTTGTGAAGGGGACGCTGTTTTGAAGTTGGTAGTGCCGGGTGGGGTGAGGACGTCATCTGTCGGGGTTGCTGGGTAGGAGAGTCTAGGGCAGAAAGAATTCAGTGTCCTCTGAAAGACTTGTGCCAGCTGACAGCAAACTCCATGTGGCTTCGGGATGTGTATGTGTCTTTGTCTGTCTGTTCGTCGGTACCAGTGCCTGCAGGAAAGATTCCAGCAGAGTTATCACAGGGAATGTGTACAGTAGAGTGGGCTGAAGGCCATGATTGGGGGAGAGTGTCGGGGGGGTAGGTGATTTGAGCTGGGAAATAGCAGAGGCCTTGGTGCCTCAAGGATCTCAGCTGTTGCAGCCTGCCTGCCCCCTACGCCCTCCACGGGGCAGAGCCAGGCATGTGGGTGACTGGAAACAACTGCTGTCCCTTGCCAAGATCCCCTGTGGTTAAGCTGAGGAGGGCATCCTTACCAGACCTGGGACAAAGTGAGGAATCGAGTTTGAGAATCAGAAAGCGAGTTATCAATGTGCTGGAGTTAGAACCCAGGCTAACTGGACGCTGGCCAGACTTCGGGTCCCGTCTGGTAAGCCCAGGCTGCAGAACCCAGATTTCCACATAGGCTGTAGCTACTGCCCACTGGGCTTCTACCTACCACGTGTCTTTGGGTTTGATCTGAACATGACTGGTTTGGAAGCTGAAGAAAACACCTGCTGATATCACCTTTAGCTTCAGCAGACAGCTTAAGGGCTGGGAAGTGTCCCAGACTATGGAAAGCAGCTATCCGAAAGGTTACTTTACTTCTCTCATGCAGCGTCCTGAGGTCTCTTCCCCCTGCTAGCTGACCTGCCACTTGCCAAGCAGAGCATGGGCCCTTCCCCGTGGGAGGGCTTGGTGGCCTGGTATTGAGACCCACAAGCCCCAGTGCAGCCTCCACGGGCTCCATGCAGACACCAGCTTCTGGGGGTGGACTGGGCATGTCTGGGCTCTCACAGTCTCTCTCAAGAGGGGTAGGTAAAGAAGACCTTAAAATTCTCCCAGCACCCCCACTGGCTGCAGGCTTGCATCTCCTACCACTTTCTTACCAGAATCCTCTCAAATGAGTGCTACTATGGCTTAGACGCTCTGCACCAGCCCGTCCCTAAGTTCCATCGGCAGCCCTTCCTCCCCTGTCTCTGCCAAACCCCCAGGGAACTTTCCTGACAGTCAGCCAGAAGGGCCAGAGCAGGGCCTCCCCATACAGCCCCACCCGCCTCGGCACGGAGCCTACCCCCGCCCCAGGTCTCCCTCTGCTCCCGTGGGCCGTCTTCACAGCATCCGTTAGCCAGACGTGACTGCTGAGCCAGCGGTCACCTCCAACGCTCGACTCCTGAAGGCTCAGCTACATCAGGTAGTCCTGGACTCGGGGTGAGCGGGGCCCAGCCCGAGCTCAAGAATGGAACCCCTGGATCTCTTCTTTCATTTGAAGAAAGAGATAGAACAGGGGAGGAAGAGGTCCAAGGTCACAAGGGAATTCTTTCAGCAAATGATGAGTGAGCAGTTTTATGCGGAGCCCTGGCAGGAGCTGTCTTGCTGAGGGTGCCCGCCGAACACCAAGTCTTGACCACTGGAGCCCCTCCCCGCCCCCCACAGACATGCCCTGAACGGCCGCTGAAAGGGTTAAGTGGGCTTGGTTCCAGCCTAGGGATCTCTAGTAAGTAGTTAGCACTGTCGGAAAGAGAGCTTCCCCTCCTGCCGGACCTGCTGCCGCTCCTGCAGCCCAGCCCTCGCTTGGTGCTTTCAGTCCTGCTGGAGGGCTGGGTGACAAGCTCCTGGCGGCCCCTGTGCCCGTCGCTGCCCAGGGCCCGTTACGCTCGGGCCTCTGTGTCTGCCTTCTCCTTCTTGACCGCAGCTCCCCTCTCTTGTCTCTACAGCCATAATGAAAGACGGAACACATTTCTACACCCACTGACCGGCCAGGCTCCAGAGGAAAACAGAAAGTTTGACTTGAAAATGTATGTTTACTCCCTGCCTGCTATTTGGCCTTTGCATCCTTGACCACCATGATCTGTGCAGCTGGGAAGCAGAAGGAATGAGGGGCAGAAAGGGGAGCAGAGACTTTAGGGTCACTCACCCAAGTTCTGAGGGCTGGAAACTTCTGAGGCCCAGCTGGCTTGACACTCTCACCCCTTTTCCCGGAACCTGTGAGGCCCAGGTTGATGTATCCCACGGGCTGAGCTCAAGGAGTGAGTCAGGTCTGAGGCTGGCATGTCACTCACCTGGGCCTCTGGGGAGCTAGTGAGAGCGTGCTGTGACCACGAGAACCTTGGCTCGGTCAATGAAAGGGAAAAAAGATAATTAAATGTCTCTCATGTCCACTGGGCCACCAAGTCTTTTAAATTAGAAGGAGATGAGGTCCCAGAGTCATGGGTCTAGGTTTTTAAGGTAACTTTTCAGGAAAGGAAGAGGAGAATGTGCAGAGCTCCTGGTGTACAATCTCGGAAGGACAGTGGAAGCAGCTGAGGGGACCCCTTGGGTTGCTAAGGGGCCCCAATTTGTGCTGAACACTGGAATGGTGCATGGCAGGGTGGGGAAAGGGGTGGGCAGCACCCATTGCTTCCTGGTTCTCACCGGCCTCTTTCTTTTCTTCTGGTCAACTTGAAATCAGATCAGCTTTGGACATGTCCAATAAAGCAGGTGGGAAACGCTCAACTACCACCAACAGTGACCTAACCAACCACAGCATGGTGTCTGAGGTCCCTCCAGAGCGGCCCAGTGTCCGGGTAAGCCTAGCCAACCCTTGGAAATGTATCAGGCTGCTTGCTTGTCCCTGCAGGTTCCAAAGAGCAGGTGATGGGATGCAGGGGGCGGGGAGCAGGAAGGGAAGAGGGCTCAGACCAGAACCACATGGAAGACCCACATCTAAACCGGGGGTCTCAGCTTCAGCACTGCTAGCACTGGGTCTGGGTCATTCTTTGCAGTGTGGGGCCGCCCTTTCACTGTGGGATGCAGAGCAGCATCCCTGGCCTCCACCCAAGATGCCCATCACCCATCCCGTGATGACCAAAAATGTCTCTTGGCATTGTCAGATGTCCCCCATGGGCCCAAACTGCCCCAGCCTCACTGAAAACCACCGACTTAGGGGGACAGCAGGAGAATAACTAATGAAGGACATGGCAACTGCGTGCTCAGAAATGGGGGAGGATGGAAGAGAGTGTCAGGAGAAAGGAGCAATCAGAGAAGAATGTTGCAGAGAGGTCTGGTTAGAGAAGGGCTGAAAGTGTCCGTGGGGGTTAGTAACACTGGCAGCTGGGGGCTCTGACAAGAGTAGTCGCCGTGGTGTGATGAGAGCAGAAGACGGAAACACGCGGAGAGGGCTTACGAGGAGATGGGAGGGCGGGCCCAGGCGCTGAGGAGTGCAAGCTGCTCTTGTTAGAATCTAGACGGACAGTGGTGGCACAGCCATAGAGAGGAGGACTCCCTAGTCCAGGGACTGGGGCTGGGTGTAGAACAAGGATAAATCTTAAAAACAATGTCAAGTTAAAAAGCAAGTTGGAAAATATGAAAACTATAGTGTTATTTATGTAAATTGTACAAACGAAAATAATTTGAGCATTTTTATAGATAATGCAGTACAAACATATAACCTTGGAGGAAGAAAAGGTAGTGAGGTCAGGGAGGGGCTCGAAGGGAGTTGCAGCTCTATTTGTCAGACTTTATTAGGAAAGAAGACAACATGTAGTGGTAATTTAGTCCCTACTTTTCTAATGGTTGAAATATTTCAAGAAAATATTTTTAAAGAAACTTAACTATGAAGGGAAATGAGGGGCAGAGGGTGGCAGATACGAGATATGCAAGATGGAGGGAGGTTTTCTTTGTTCATTTTGTTTTGTTTCACGATGTTAAGGGCAGGAGGGAAATGGCCCAGTAGATAGTTTCAGGAGAAAAGCGTGGCCAATGTGTCCTGTTTTGCAGAGACGGTGTTAGCCTGGTTGGGGGGGCCCTCTTCCTGAGGCTGCATAGAGAGGTGTGTGAAGCTTGGGGGTGGGGCTAGGAGGTTAAAGACATCACCACCAGATATCTTCAGTTTTTGCAGGAAAGTAGGAGGTAGGGTTTTCTGCTAAGAGTGGGGTGGGTAGAGGGGCATCGGGGGCAGGGCTTCAGAATAAATCCAGGGATCAGTGGTCAGCAAGGGACACTTGGAATGTTGCCTGATGATATTGAAGGGTCACCTGAGGTCATAGACGGAACCTGTGACTCTGATTCACGGGTGTGTGTGGTTCTTCTCCAGCCGTACTACGGCCTGGCAGATGGTTGCATTGACTGAAGGTTGAGGGTTGCTGGCAAGCAGTGGCAGAGAGATAAGAAGGCCAGGTTATTACTGAGGGGTTGGCAGGGGAATGCTGAAGTGGCTGCTACTGGGAGCAGCTTTTAGGCTGCAGAGAGTCCATGAAACTATGCCAGATGTTGGACTGAGAGAAAAGGGAGAGACTTAAGGATTTTCATATTTTGAGGGTGATGGATAACTTGTTCAGATAGCTAGTCTCTTCTATGTGTGAGTCTTTACAAGTAAAGTGGAGAAAATAATTTCACTTCCCAGTTTGGGAGGTACTTTATGATAAACCCCATTTTCTTCTTTCCTTCCTTCTACAAGTGTTTACTAAGTGCTTATTGATAGCTGGACACCTTGCTAGGCTCTGGTGATGATGAGATGAACAGAAGTTTTTCTGTATGGAGAGCTCACAGTCTAGTGAGGGAGATGGGACGCACACGGTCCCGCTGTAGTGTGAGAGAGTCTAGACTAGGAGAATGGAAAGAAGAGGGAGCGGCGCCACCCTGGGAAAGCAGGGAGGTTCCGTGGACTTGGGGTGCTGCCCTAGGCTCTGAAGGACGGGTAATGGAAGCGGGGCCTTCCAGGAAAGGCCTCGGTGAGCAGGAGAGAACCACTTGGAATCTGGCGTGACCAGTGACTGTGTGGTAGAGTTGCTGAGAGTGGGTGACAGCCCAGCCAGATCTTGTAGACCCGTCCTTGCGTTCTGTGCTGAAGACTGGAATTCTCTTCTAAGTGATGGAGCAAGCGAGAAGTTTTAAGTGAAAGAGTAGGGTAATTAATAAAGTGTTAGTGCACTGCAGAGGGTAGATTGCAAGAAGAGATGACAAGCCATGAGGCGACAGCAGCAGCGGCATTTGAGGGGAAAGAGTGGGCTTGACAACCATTCAGCAGGTAAAGCCTCCAGCCCCGTGCGGAGGGTGGAGGGATGCTGAGACCTGGCGCAGACAGCAGCTTTAGGCCCGAGTGGACCGTGGTCCAGCCCCTGGAGGAGAAATGCAGAAGTAGAGAAGAGCAAGGTTGGTTACAAAGGGAGTGGCTTTGGTTTTGCGCTTATTCAACCCTGGCTGGATGACTAGTGAGCAAAGGGACTGGGCCTTAGATAGGATTAGGGAGCTTTTAGCACTTTGCTGGCAGCTGAGGCGATGGGTGTGGACGAGGTGATGCAGACAGTGTTTGGTGAGAGGAGACGAGTGAGTTTGAAGTCTCCCAGCACTTACTGGAGGCGGAGCTCGGGAAGGACGGCGTGGACAGAAGCACCGAAGAGTGAAGAGCAGCGTCGCAGAAACCAGGAGGAGAGTTGCGGGGGGCAGCAAGGCTCAGTGCTGGCGTTCTAGAATGTCAGGGACCACGTGGCCCGAGTTCAGCGACGTTGCAGGGACCATTTCAGAAGAGGCGGAGGAGGCTGAGGAGGAAACGGAGGCAGGGAGTTGCCCTGTCTCTGAGGAGAAAGAGACGGGAGGGAGGACAGGTGTTGCCTGACAGTGGACCGTGGGTGGAGGGGCAGGCAGGGTGTGTGCGTGTGTGAGAGGCAGGACAGATAGATGGATGATTCGAGATGGAGAGACCTGAGCATCTTTGCTGAGGAGAAGAAGCCAGTGGAGGAGGAAGAGATGAAGACAGAGTTGAGTGATTATAGATGAAGCAAGTCTCAGAGAAGACAGCTGGCTGGACTCAATGGCCTTGGAAAGAAGGAAGATGCCTCTTCTTTGACATTGTAGGGAAGGAGTCAAGGAGAGTGGTAAGGGCATCGCTTTCTGGGTAAAAGGGTGTGAAATTGAGGAAGCCTTCATTTTCTCGATGAGGACCAGGCCGCGTGGAGGGTGGGGCGGCAGAGGGCTCAGGGGAGCCTTGAGGGTGTGCTGGAGCCGCGGGCCGGTGCGAGGGACCCCGTCTCGATTTGATTAAACTGTGATTTAGAGTTGCAAAGAAGATCAAGGAAAGGCGCTGGATGGGGTGTTGGAGAGTGCGGTTGGTCTACCCTGCCAGGGAACCTAGGCTTTATAGGAAGACAACCAATACCAGGAGGTCGCTGATGAATCACGAAAAAAGGGGAGACATTCGGGAGCTGGGGGTCACAGTGGAAAAGAGAGACTGGTCTAGATGAGTGATGGAGTGAGACAGCCCAAAGGATGGGACGCTGAGGTTGAAAGATGGGAGGATGAGAGTTGATGATGCTGGTTACAGAGTCTTGGGAGCGGCCCAGGTCTAAGGCGTTGCCATGGGGGTGAGTTGCTGGGGTGGAAGTGGAAGATTCTGAACTTGAGGAATCAGGGTAGTTTAAAGCCAGGCCACTAGATGGGCCATTGGAGCCATGAAATTGTCACTGTGATACAAGACTTAGAACAAAGCAGATGACTGATATCCAAATCCTTCATCTCTGAAGGCGTGCTCTAGGAGCTGACTATGGTAAGGAAGGCTGGGCAGTGAAAGATCAGTGGTACTTTAAAAGAGAGATTGCTGCCAGAATGTGAGAAAGAATGGCAGTGTCTGTGTGGCAATAAGGAGCCAGGAGAACACCCGCTGTGGTATGCGGGACATTCCAGAATGAATAGGACTCAGAGAGGATGGAGATGTAGGGAATCTACTTCCAACTGAGTGGGTCCAAGACAGCACTGTGAAAGAGGTAAGGAGTAAGGCCAGTAGGAGAAGGATAGGCCGGAAGTGAAATGGGGGAAAAAAATCTTATTTTCTCCTTAAGAAAAACCACATCACAGTGAGAGAGGTAGGACTATTCTTTTGAGCCCCATATTAGAGATTAAAAAAAGAGTCAAAAAATTGAAAGCCTGTGCCCTTGACTTAGTAACAGACCCATGGTTCTCACCTGAGCTGCTTAACCTGACGGTCCCCGGGGTGGCTCTGGAGAGGGACCTCTCCGGCCAAGGGCAGCCCCGCGTGCGGGCAGGGCAGGAAGAAGGCAGAGAGTGAAGCCAGGCTGCGTCTGTCTCCCTAGGCCGCGAGGCCATCCCGGAAGGCCATCGCTTTCGGCAAGCGCTCCCACTCCATGAAGCGGAACCCCAGTGCTCCGGTCACCAAGGCAGGCTGGCTCTTCAAGCAGGTGAGGCCTCCTCCACCATCCTGCCCCTCCCAACGCCACCTTCTCCTTATACCGTCATTTCTCTGTACTTAGAAGAGCCCATGTATGCTTTGCTATGTCTTTCCCAGGTTCTATTTTGGTATATTTCTGTGAACGAATCTCCTGATTTTATAAAGGCTCTGGGAGGTCGAGTATCTTCCTAAAATCACAAAGAGAAATTAGCATCGTATTTGGGAGTCCAGCCAGGTCTCTTGATGGGCGGACGCGATGACTTTGAAATATACTAGTCCCCCTAGCCTATGAGAACAGCCTACAGCCCGGGCGGCAGACCCACTTATTACGAAGGGAAGGCTGTCTCCTCCGAGCTGAGGGGTCCAGTTCTCCTTGCTGACCCTGCCACTACCGCTGCCCGCCCTTCTGCTCAGTCCTTCTGACTGCTGCCGCATTTGTCTTCTCTGGGGGAGATGCTGAGGCCCAGAACCACATAAGTGGAAGGTCCCAGGCCGTCCGATAATGTCATTCCCCACCTCTGAGGGCTCTTGGGGGTTGCCGGCCCTTCTTAGTGACAGAGCCACAACCAAAAGCAGGGTGTCCTTGTGAGCGAAGCCCTCTTTCCGCTGCAAGCCCCTCCTCGCCACACCCGGCTCACAGAGCCTCCTGTCTCTTCCCTTGTGTGTCCTGCAGGCCAGCTCTGGAGTTAAGCAATGGAATAAGCGCTGGTTCGTCCTGGTAGATCGCTGCCTCTTCTACTACAAAGGTGAGCTTGTCCCTGGTGTTGGCAGGGGATGCTGAGAGCCAGTGCCCCCTCTTTATTATTCTGCGCTGTCACAGGGCTCTCAACCTGATGGATGTTGGTGCATAGGGGTGCACACATCCCCTCTGTGGTGTCTGGCACCAGTGGGGCATGACCGTGAGACAAGACAGCTCGCTTGCTTACACTTTCACTCGCTCATTTCACGCTCAACAGTATTTACCGAGTGCCTACTGCGCTTCAGGCAGTTCTCATGGGTAGCGTGGTATATGAACAAGACAGTCAGATCACAGAGGGTGAAGTCTGGGGTGAGGAGGGCAGGAAAGGAAAAGGAGGGAGAAGAGGAGGGTGCCTGGTCACACTAGGTCAGCTACTGCTTGGACCTTGTATGTTGAGCTCCTTCCTGTCCCACTGGAATGCATGATCTGATCTGTGCGGGCAGGATTTTTTGGTCAGTTTTGTTCACTGTTGTATCCACAGCACCAAAAACAGCAGTTGGCACGTAGTAGGTGCTCTGTCGATGTGGAATAAATGATTATCCCTCAGCTTCTGCCCTCTCTGCCTGCCCCAATAGTCTCCCTTCCCTCCCCTCAAAAAGGAGGGTAAGAACTTGGGTGCAGCGGCCTCTAGGAGGTTATTTTTAAAGCACGCACAGCAGCAGTGTATCATGGAGGGCGTGGAGGGAACTGGTGAGGGTTGATGACAGTGACAGTCCTGTCTCGCTGATGCCTGGGCGCTGAGGAGAGAGGGAGACGGGGTGGCTGTGTCCTCCTGCACGCCCCTGGAACGGCAGGGATCCGATTTCTCCGGGTCTCCTGGGGGCACTTCAGTGAATCATTAACTCTGGCGCACAAAGGTTGTACCCAGGGACCCCTCCCTGCTGCCGCTATGCCCCGAGGCTCCTGAGTCCCGAGGAGAGAGCAGGAAGGGGCTGCACGTGAGGTCCAGTCACAGAGGAAACCCCAAGGCTGAGAGCAGGGAATCTGCTCGGGCCCCAGGACACAGGGCCCCCCGGAGCCAGAGAGTGACAGCAACTCCGGGTGGGAGGGAAGCCAGGGTCTCTGCGGGGGAGACGGGGGAGACGCTCTGGGCCTGGTGTGAGGGGGAGCCTTGGAAAGCCCTGAGCTCCAGGCGTGCAGAGATGGGGGGCGCTCTCCACTGACACATGCTCTCAGGAGACCCCTAAACACTGGTCTGGACTCAGCCCAGCGGGGCCCACCCCGTCCCGGGAGACGGCCTCGGCCTCCTGAAGACGCTCCGGGTCCCCAGCCCTCCTGCGTGTCTGCCCAGCCCTTGCTCGGCACCGTGCGGGGTCAGCGCAGGAGGCTGGACCTGGGGCTGAGCGTCTTGTAGGGATGAGTAAGCGGGAGAGGGGGGCCTGTGGATTCTGTAACCCCTCTGAGAGCACCTCTGAACTCTCCTGGGGCTTCACAGAGTCTCCAGCCCCAGGAATAAAGTGCTCTCCCGGGGAAGTGGGGAGGCTCTTGCATGGCCTCAGTGAGTCCCCACCTCATGGTCCCCACAGAGCTCCCCTGCCCCGTGAGTCTCCCACTGATACCTGGGAACCAGCTAGCTGATCCAGCAGGCTCCTGCGGAGATCCGGGATGAGTCATGCCACAGCCTGTTTGTTCACCTGCTCCCGGCCCGAGGGCCAGAGGCCACGCAGGGGTGTGTCTTCTGGGCAGACTCCAGGACTGTAGTGGGGGGAGTCTAGTCGGGGGAGAACAGAGCAAGCTGCCAGGAGCCTGGGAGAACCTTAGAGACAGCCACCTAGAGGAGGCGAAGATGCGAGTGTCCACTCTGCCCCCCCATTATGATATGTTCCAAGCGTCACTGCTGGGATTGTCTTCTCTGGAGGGGCGCTGGGGGCAGGAGGGAGGTTACGAATGCTAGCTTGACAGTCAGACTTCTTGGGCTAAAGACCAGTCTACCACTTTCTACTCAAATAACCTTGGACAAATTACGTAACCTTCCTGTGCCTCAGCCTGCTTGTCTACACAGAAATGGAGGTCATACAGCACCGTTCGTAGGATTGTTGGGCGAGTTAAGTCTAAGGCTTTAACTTAGAACACTGCAAGTACTCCCAAAAGTCGGCGCTTACGTGCTTGTCTGTGGCTCCTAGGAATGTGAGCTCCCCGAGTCTAACACAGTGTCTGCAGGGCCGCCACGCTCCCCAGCACCCCGGCTCCAGGGGGTGCTTCTCTCCTGTGGCTGTGTGATGGCCCCAGTACCTGACAGCCAGGCGGTGGGGAGCAGGGGTTCGCTGGCGTTTATCACTGAAAGGCTGAGGTGCTGCGCTCCCTGCCCGCCCCGCGGGCACGCATGCGTCTCAGTGTTGGTTTCCTCGACAGACGAGAAGGAGGAGAGCGTCCTGGGCAGCGTGCCCCTCCTGAGCTTCCGGGTGGCCGCGGTGCAGCCCTCGGACAACATCAGCCGGAAGCACACCTTTAAGGTCAGTGGACCTTCCCCTCCCAGGCCAGGTGGGGCTGGAGGCATTTCTCCCCCAGCACACGGGACTTGCAGGTGGTGGTACTGGGGGGAGCAGGCAGTGGCCCCAGGACTCAGTCCAGGCTGTTGCAAGGCTCACCCAAGCCTGGCCCCTTGTCTTCGCGCCCAGACTGTGCCTGTAGAGATGAGCTTTGGTGATGCCACAGTCTTTCCTGGGGGAGATTTTGTTATGTGCTGTGTGCGCGGACCCTTTGCCCAGCGTCCTGGCACTGAGGAAATCCTTATCTGCAGAGGCAGAAGCTGTGGGCCCATGGGTCTTGAAGATCCGTTCTGGAAAGTCTTCCTCCCCACCTTTAGCCCAGGGAACTAGGCCCCCAGACTAGCTTAATTAAAGGGTCTCAGATGTCAGCTGTTCGCTCCTGTTTAGTGCCCAGCACGCTCCCACAGCCCGTGTAAGGCCCTCGATTTGTCACTTGTCCTCACTTCCCTTTTTCCCTTTGCCCTTCGGCCCTGCTGCCCGCGCCCTGTCCCTTTCCAGCCCTGTCATGGCCCAGCGCCCTGCTATATTTGTAACCTTGAAAATGGCTTTTGTAGGCCTGTGTGTTTTAGATTCCATAAACAATGTACTCTACTGGGGCTTCTCTGGTGGCTCAGAGGTTAAAGTGTCTGCCTCCAATGCGGGAGACCTGGGTTCGATCCCTGGGTCGGGAAGATCCCCTGGAGAAGGAAATGGCAACCCACTCCAGTATTCTTGCCTGGAGAATCCCATGGACGGAGTAGCCTGGTAGGCTACAATCCACGGGTTCGCAAAGAGTCGGACACGACTGAGCGACTTCACTTCACTTCTACCTGAAAAACCTTTGGAGAAAATTTAGGAATTGAGTTTCATGGTGGCTCTGACGGTAAAGAATCTTCCTGCAATGCAGGAGATCTAGGTTCAATCTCTGGATCAGGGAGATGCCCTGGAGAAGAGAATGGCAACCCACTCCAGTATTCTTGCCCAGATCATCCCATGGACAGGAGCCTGGCAGGTTATAGTCCATGGACTCTCAAAGAGTCAGATACTACTGAGCAACTAACTGGGTGCAAGCATATAATGGACACAGTAATTAAAAGCCGCTAACCTCATGGAGACACAATTTGAAGAGTGAGGGCCCAGGGAGACGGGCCCCACCTGCCTGCTCTGAGCAGCGAGCGTCGCTGCTTGGAACCCACGGGGGATCCACTCTTCAAAGACAGGCCTGCAGCTCTCTCTTCCTATGCCAGTGTTTTTCCACATTTAAAAATTCATGGCAAAAAAAAAAAAAAATTCATGGCCTGTTTGAAATGATAAAAAATTCCATGCCTTTTTTGGAGTTTATGATGCAAAGGTCATAGGTTCTTTTTCATTTTCCAAATATAAAATTATGATATCGACCATGCATTTTCTTCATACAAAGCCGTCTCTCCCCAAGTTGAGAAATACTGTCCAAGACCCTGAAAACCCACAGGTTCCTCGAGGGCAGCGTCTGAGTTCCTGGGGCCCCAGAGACTCTGGTCACCTGGCCCCAGAGAGGTGGGCAGATACACAGGTGCCACTCCAGGGAATAAGGACAGACTGCTTAGGCACATAATTAGTTTCTAGTCTCCAAGTGTCCTGTCTGCAGAATGGATAATCAGTAAGAGTCTTGCTCCAGGGCAGCAGATTTTAGCTGGGGAAATGGGAACAGGCTGTTTAACCAACAATAAGACACATGTGGTACACACACCCACACAGTCAGACAGCCCGTCTCACCCTCCCCTGCAGGCCTGTGCACACAGACACGCTCCAGCCCGGAGCCCTGCTGGCGGTCGCCTTAGAGAAACGTCCCTAGTGACTGCCACACCTGTTCCGCAAGCCCGCACCTCCGCGCCCATCAGCCCTCTCCTCCTTTCCTCGAGGAGCGCACTGGTGCTCGGAGGCCCACAGAAGGTCCTGATGTGGTCTCTCAGTGACCTCCCCGGGGAAGGGAGGGGCGACGAGACAGATGGGCGGCTTGTCCCGTCACGACCCGCAAGCGACACCCTCAGATGGCCAGTAGTGAGGAGCCGTCCCGCCCGTCCTGCGGCCAAATGCCTTGCCCTCGCCTGAGTGCCCGTGAGGGCTCGGTGGGCTCCCCACGGGCACCGCCCCCTCTTCTCTGGCCCCCTCTCGTGGGTCCAGGCTGCTGCGGCCCCGCGTCAGTTGCCCCATCTTTTCGCAGGCCCTCTGCTTCCCCGTCACAGGCTGTTGCTCCTCCGCCTTCACTCTCTGCTTGCTTCCCCACGGTCGTGTTTTGTCCTCCAGCTTCACTGCCGGCTCTTCAAGTGCAGAGCGTGTCTTTGCCCTCCCTGTGACTGGCGCCCAGGGCAGAGCTCTGCACACACAGGGCACTCGCTGGATGCTCAATGGGTGAATTGGTTGCTGCCGCTCCCACCAGCCCAGGGCACACACCCTTGTCCCCTGTGTCTTTCTCCTCTATGGGATCCCTGTGTCTTCCACCCCAGGGGCCTTACTCAGGGCCCTGCTGTAGTTTCAACCCCCAGATACCTCTTCACAGCCTCACTGGCTTTCATCAGCACCCCCTGCCTCTTCCTGCCTGCTGGGCAGCCCCGCAGGATGGTGGGGACTGGCAGGATCTGGAGGAAGGAGCCCCCTCTCTGTGCTGAGAAGCAGGATGCTCCCTCACTGGGCAGCGGCTCCTAGGAAGGAAACCCAGTCCTGGGGAAGCTGCCGAGGGCGAGTGGAGCCTGGCTGGGGGAGCTCCTGGAGGGTGTGGGCCCGTGTTGCTGTTTAGGAGAGCCCTGGGGCTTGCCAGAACAGCCCTGCCTTCTCTGCTCCCAAACCCCGGAGACCCAGGATTTGCCCCCAAGAGGTCAGGGGCCAATGAGCAGTTCACATCTGAGACCCTTAATCACTCGGATCTCTCGTGATGAGTGGGATGCACAGAGCCAGCTGCTTTTTCTAAGAGATGGTGGCTGTCACCTGGGGAGTGTTCTCAGCTCTCAGAATCGAGCTCTGGAGCGTCTTCTCCTCATGGACGTACCCATGGAACAGGTGCGTCAGTTAAGGCACATGGCAAGGTGTTTGCAGTTGCCGAGCTGGTCAGGAACAGAGCTAGGATTAGCCCGGGGCTGCCCTGCCTTCTCCCCTCCACCGGCCGAGGTTCTCCAGGTAGGAGCTCCCGGTGGTGGACTGGGCCTCGCTGGGTGCTGTGGTCCCGGTGGTGCCGCTGAGTAGGAGGGCTAGCCCGAGTAGCTCCCCAGGTCCCCCCGCTCCTCAACATTCCTGCCACGCCATCTCCCGTCTCTGCCTCTGGTGTTCGATTGACCTGTTCTCTGCTCCTCCCCCTTCTGGCCACGTGAGGACCCCTCCTCTGGACAGGCGCTCTCTTCGGGGTGTCCGCCCGCCACACCTGCTTGCGGCCGCCAACTAGGTAGCGTGCTCTGACTGTCTCTGCATGCCCCCGTGTGCCCGTGCTGTACCCCTGCAGAGGAGGGTGCCAGCTTCCCGGAGGCTGAGCTGGGGCCGGGATGGGCCGTGCTTGGGGGTGGGAGGTGTCCCTCCCAGGCATGGGGGTGACTGACCTTCACATCAGAGATGGAATTTGATGGGAGAAGCGGGTGAGGTAACTGTCCCGTCTGCTTGTAACCACCTCAGACAGGGCAGGTAAGCCTGCCTGGCTCTTACTGGGCTGCCTGTTGGTGTCCCAGGGGCTCGTCACAGGCAGGCACGCAGAGGCCAGCTGGAGCCCTTGGGACAGCTGTGGCCTGCCTCTTCAGCTTGCCCCGAGCTCCAGATGGAGCCAAGAGCTGCCAGTCAGGGGGGTGATCGGCCTGACCACCTCTCCTGTGTGCTGGGTGTCTTCTCCCCACAGGTGACTGTGTGCTGGGTGGATGAGGCTGGGGCCAGTTCCACGCACTGCCTCTCCCCACAGGCTGAGCACGCTGGGGTCCGCACCTACTTCTTCAGCGCCGAGAGCCCCGAGGAGCAGGAGGCCTGGATCCAGGCCATGGGAGAGGCCGCCCGGGTACAGATCCCCCCCGCCCAGAAGTCCGCGCCGCCCCAGGCTTCGCGTCACAAGTGAGTGCGGGGCCGGAGCAGGGTGTGGGCGGTGCCGTCAGAGAGAGAGTGGGTGAAGAGGCCCCCCACACCATTGCTGAGCCCAGCACATGGGCTTGAGCCCCGAGCAAAGGTGAACAAGCTTCTTGTGTCCCAGGAGCGTGCCTGACTAAGTGGCTTCAGAGCTGTATTCACTTTTCCCTGGGGCATCTCCCCCTCTTCTCTCTGAGCCAGTGGAGGCCAAGAGAAAAGCCAGTTCCATCAGGGCCTGGCCAGGAACCGGATAGGGTCATTGGCTTGTTTTGTTCAGCATACCACCTTTGTGGGACTCGGGTTCGAAGCCCAGCTCGGCTACTTGCCTGCTGTGTAACCTGAGTGTGAGTTACTTAGCCTCTGACCCTCAGAGACAGCCTTTATAATCCTGCCTCTGAATTGTGAGGATAATATGGTGTATGTAAAGTGCTTGAGCGCAGCAAGCGCTCAGTATGTGAGTCACTTTATCCCATCCTTCCCCGGAGTCTCAGCCCCTGGCTCTGCTTGAACCTCGAGTCTGAAGTTAGATTTTAATAGGGACCCAGCAGAAAGAGGTTTCAGGCCCTTGCTTACACAGGCAGTGAACTTATTCTTTTCACGAATGTTTACTGTAAATACAAATGTATACAGGTTGCTAGGAAAACAAAGTAGGAAAAGCCCGACAAGCTCAAACCTCATGAAGCTTATATTCTCATGGAAAGTCCTGTAAGAAGCTTGCTTGGGAAAGGGGAACTAGCCTGTTTCTATGCCTGTGAAGTCTGAGGCAGCCACTCTGGCCCCTGGTGTGCCTGCCACGTTTGACCTCACACAGTCCTTACCCACCCTGCCAGTGAGCAGCCCAAGACTCATGGACATTAAATAACTTTCTCTGGGAGAGAAGGCTTGCCTGTCACAAGCCTCTGTAGCTGGGACATCAGCAGTTTCTATTCTGTGTAGCATACAGTTGCCACCAAGTGAGGCGGCTGGGTCCCAGACCTAGTCTAGGAGGGGTTGGTCTTGGCTATCGCTTGAAGGCTGACTCCAGGCGGGTTGGCAGAAGGGAGTGGAGGGTGGCCCTTGGGCAAGACAAGGAAACTCAAACAGGTGACCTTGGATCATGCTTTACAATTTCCCGGGCTGGAGCAGGGAAAGAAAGTGGTAGGTGGGATTTAGGAAGCAGAATGGAATGCATTGACTCCTGTTTCCATCGCTGCTTTCTTGCCCAACCTTTCCATTCCTTTTCTCCTTCTCACTTTATCCCACCTGAACTCCACGCCGGGCTGGGGTCACCTACAACACCGCCCTTGGCGTCCCCACAGCCATGAGAAGCCAGACTCTGAGAACATCCCACCCGGCAAACACCATCATCAGCTCCCCCACAACAGCGTTCCCAAGCCTGAACCGGAGGCCAAGACTCGTGGCGAGGGTGACGGCCGAGGCTGTGAGAAGGTGGAGCGGAGGCCCGAGCGGCCAGACAGGCCAGACGCCAAGAGCGAGCCACTGGCAAAAGCCAACGGTGTCCACGCCGGACCGGAACCCGCCTCAGAGCCGGGCAGCCCTTTCCCAGAAGGCCCGAGGGTCCCGGGAGGTGGGGAGCGGCCCGCCCAGCCCAATGGCTGGCAGTATAGCTCCCCCAGCCGGCCGGGGAGTACGGCCTTCCCACCTCAGGACTCCGAGAGCGGGGGTCACCGGCGGAGCTTCCCGCCACGCGCCAACCCCGACAAAATCGCCCAGCGCAAGAGCTCCATGAACCAGCTTCAGCAGTGGGTGAACCTGCGCCGAGGGATACCCCCTCCTGAAGACCTTCGGAGGTGCGGCCTGGGGCGGGTAGGGTGGAGGTGCCGTTCCGGCTGGGGCTGGGGCGTGACATGCAGGCAGCCTCCGCTGAAAACCTTCCGGAAGCCAGGCTGGATGGGGAAGCCAAGAAAACCCCCTTTTCCCCGTGCCCAAGTCCTTCCTGCCCCACGGTTCCACAGGTAGAATTTGCCCCCTACCCCTGAGGCTTGCCCTCTGCCTGCCTCCTTCAGTGCCTGTCTCAGGACATTGAAGAAAGGAAAGGAAAGTGAAGTCGCTCAGTTGTGTCCCACTCTTTGCGACCCCATGGACTGTAGCCCACCAGGCTCCTCTGTCCGTGGGATTTCCAGGCAAGGGTACAAGAGTGGGTTGCCGTTCCCTTCTCCAGGGGATCTTCCTGACCCAGGGATTGAACCCAGTTCTCCCGCATCGCAGGCAGACTCTTTACCCTCTGAGGCTCCAGGGAAGCCCCACAGGACACTGGGTGGACTGAAATCTGTAGGCAGTCACAGCAAGGGGCCTTTAAAGCTGTTCCAGCTAGACGTCCATCCCTGCTTCCCACCCTGTACGACATCCAGTGTTTCTATCAATGCGAGACTCACTAACCGCCAAGGCCACTTGCTTTGTGTGTGAATGGCTCTAACTGTTTGAAAGCCATTATTTATAAGCACTTTTTGAAAAAGAAAGATGTTGCTGCTCATTGGCCCTAGTTCTGCCCTCTAGACAAGTTTACTTCTATTACTATCTATTTACTATCAAGTTTACTATTACTAGAAAATAGTGACTGGCTTTCATTTGAAGACATTTATTGGATATTTGAATTTTTTGGATATTTGACATATTGGATAGAAGACATTTATTTTTCTTTTGGATATCTTTAAGTGTCTTTTGGATAGAAGACATTTATTGGATATTTGATATTTGAAGACCTTTATTGGACCTGACTATGTTCATCAGGCAGGTGGGGTTACCGCTCCTTCCCTGGGGCTCTGGGCAGCTCCAGGGCCTGCAGGTAACAGCTCACTGTGGTGATCTGCCCTGCCCTGGGGAGAGCGTCTCGCTTGGGTTGAGTTCCAGGAACTGACTGGCTGAGCCCTTGACAGGACCCTGAGATCAGGGAAGGCGCCTCCTTGCCTGTCCTCTGTTGCCCACCTCCAGGGGCCTGGTACACTCCACTGCTTTCTGCTGTTAGCCTCCCTGGGAAGGATCTGAGAAATTGGTTCATGCTGAGATGGAGATGGCTGAAGGGCTTAGTTTCCCTCTGGGGTACTTCATTTTAAAGAGACAAGAATGGAAGCTCTGAGCAGTGAAGTTTCTGGCCTCAGGGAGCTGGTTGAGGGAGGGAGTTTGAGGACTGTCTTTCTTGCACCTCTGGAACAAGCCTCTGTGCGCGGGCACTGGACGCCCCTGTGTGCACACAAGGTCAGCCTGGGGCACATCCACCTAGTCAGAACCCACCCTAGGCTGGAGCACAGGGAGGGGCAGCTGGGGCACGGGCAGGTGAGCGGGAACATGCCCGTCTGGTCTGGCTTCCTTACAGAGTCCTCTCTGTCTCTCAGTCCTTCTAGGTTCTACCCTGTGTCCCGTAGGGTCCCTGAGTATTACAGCCCCTACTCCTCTCAGTACCCTGATGATTACCAGTACTACCCCCCAGGGGTGCGGCCAGACAGCATCTGCTCGATGCCGGCCTACGATCGGATCAGCCCGCCCTGGGCCCTGGAGGACAAGCGGCACTCCTTCCGGAATGGAGGCGGCCCTGCCTTCCAGCTGCGCGAGTGGAAGGAGCCTGCTGGCTATGGGCGGCCGGATGGCACCGTCTGGATCCCCAGCCCCTCCCGGCAGCCCGTCTACTACGACGAGCTGGAGGCCGCCTCCGGCTCCCTGCGCCGCCTGTCCCTGCAGCCCCGCTCCCACTCGGTGCCCCGCTCGCCCGGCCAGGGCTCCTATGGCCGCGGCCGCGTGTACTCCCCCGCCCGCTCGCCCAGGGCCCATTTTGAGCGGCTGCCGCCTCGCAGTGAGGACATCTACACTGACCCTGCCGCCTACGTGATGAGACGATCCATCAGCTCCCCCAAGGTGAGCCCCCTGCCTTCCCTACCTTCCTCAGCCCCTGAGGTCCCCCGGAAGCCTGAAGCCGTCTGTCAAGAAGATGTGGAGAGGCGGGGGTATCTGGGCACTTTGGGTCCCTCGGCTGGTTCTGCAGGACCAAAGATGCCTCCTGGGGCGGGGGCCCCTGGCCCTGCAGTTCTCCTTGGAGGAGTCACCTTGCCTCTGGGTAGGAACACTGTGCTCTGTGCCCCTCCCCAGGCTGTGCCAGGAGCTCTAATGCTATATAAGAGGACACAGACGTTCTGTTTTTTTCAGATCATTGCAAGCATATTGCAGTGGGTCAGTGCTGTCCATTTTCCTTTGAAATCTGCTCCAGGACAGGATACAGCATCCCTGACCTTGAGCTTCAGTTGGTGGGGAAGCTTCTGTCCCAGCTGAAGCCTCACCTCTCCAATCCCCTTTCTCTTCCAGTATGATTACCTGGGAGACAGGCGGCCAGTCCCTGCAGGACTGTTCCCCTACAACTACCCACCATCCCCCACGGTCCACGATAAGATGGTACGTCCTCTCCTCCCACTCTGCTTCCCCTCAGGCCCTCTCCTCCCAGGGGAGGATGGTTGCTCTATGCCCGGTGCCTGGACCGTGTGTGGTCTTAGGCAGCCTCTGGATACCTCCTCCCTCCAGCCTGGACTCTAACATCAATACAGAGTGTGGTGCTAATTAATTACCCTTCTCCGCGGTGACACAGGGCAGAGGAGCAGGGACAGACCCTGGAAGCGTGAGATGTCCCCGTCCTCTGCATCTCAGGACAGCCCCTGTCCAGTATGCAGAGGGGCCTGGCTGAGGCTGCNGATACCTCCTCCCTCCAGCCTGGACTCTAACATCAATACAGAGTGTGGTGCTAATTAATTACCCTTCTCCGCGGTGACACAGGGCAGAGGAGCAGGGACAGACCCTGGAAGCGTGAGATGTCCCCGTCCTCTGCATCTCAGGACAGCCCCTGTCCAGTATGCAGAGGGGCCTGGCTGAGGCTGCAGGCTGGGAAGAAAAGTTAAGCTTGTACTCCCCAAACAGGCGTGAGCTTCTAGGTTTCTTCCCCCTAAGTATACTTGCTTCAAGCTTGCCCTCGCCTGGAATGTTACTTCGGGGGAAAGAGATGAGAGGTAGGATTGAGGAAGAGTCTATATTGTGTCTTCTCGTAGCTTCTCTCACCTTTCCACTCGTGTCTCTTCCTGGAATTTGTTCTCCTGAGAATTTCGTCTTCCCTGGAGAACTCATACAGGTGTTCCACTTGGGGAGCTGGGAGAGCCTCTGGAAGCAACAGGCAGAGTCCTTGTCCCCAAGGGCCTGTGACTGACCCCCCTCGACGAGTCTCCTCTGCCCGTGTCCAAAGCCTGTAGTCTTGACACAGAGCAAACGCACCCACCCAGAAACAATGGGTGTCCCCAGAAAACGCAGAGCTGATGGGAAGTGCTGCCTGGGTGGCTTCTCGGTGCCTCCCTCTCCCAGGCGAGGGCCAGGCCTGGGAACGAGCCAAGGAATGTGCCCCTCCTCTGCCCCTCTCCCTTCCCTAGACCCCTCAGGGCCAGGCAGGCCTCTCTTTGTCACTGCCCAGCTAACTCTTAACTGCTTTGCTTCCTTTTTATTGTCTTCTTTTGTTGTGTTCCTGTTTGTTTGTGTTGCTGTTGGGCCTCGGGCTCCGGGTAGGATGAACTTTTAGACCTTCAGTTGCAAAGAAACCTAGAGTATTTGGATCAGCAGGTAGGCAGAGCTGGTGCCCCTCACCACCCCCTGCCCTCCCATCACGTCTGCCTGCTTCTCCTCGCCTTCTCATCCTCCATTCATCCGACAACCTTTGTTGGCACAACCAGGACACAACAAAGTGGCTTATATTTTGGTTTGCAGCTTCACACCCCTTCTCTGCAAAGCCCTTAGGACAGCTGGGAGTTTCCTGGGGAAAGGAGAATAGCAAATGACCACATGAATAATTAATGTCACCATCTATTTGTTCGGCCCAGATGGAAATGCCCCCAGGGAGCAGGGAACAATTTGCATTTTTGCTGGAGAGAGTTGCAGAGATAGGGAAGAGCTCTGAAACAGGAGTTTTAGCTAAAGCTAAATTAAATCCTAAAGCTAAGGATTTAGTACAGCTTGAACCTGGGAAATTAGCCTATTCTATTCCACAATTCCAGATTGTGGCTAAATTCCATAATTTGTAAACGAAGGACCACAGACCTGCCCTCTCATGATTTTTTAGTTTATGTTAATTCAGCATATTTGTTAGTTCCTCTGCAAAGTTCTTTTGTATACACAGCTTATGTTTTCCGGAGAATTCAGTGCTGTAGACAGGGAATATTACCAACCCAGTGTCACAGATGAGCATCCTAAAGAGGCAGTGAGTGTCCCTGTGTGATGGAAGGAATCCACTACCTGGGCTCCTGCCTTTGGCTGCCGTGCCTTTTGAGGCTAATGAGGCTGTGATACTGGGGTTAGATAGGTTAGGGGTCAGTATGCTGGGCATTTATATGAGGACGTACTCATGTTCAGATCTGAACCTCCAAATCATAGGGGACCTGAATGTGCACCAGGTCCAGGTGGAGGTAGCCTATGGTGGTGGAAAGGTTAATGACAGTAATAATGATAATGGCAGACTTACCATAACCGGATGCTTCCTCTGTGTCCCATGCTGTTTTAAGCACTTTACAGATCCTAACTCATTTAATCTTTATAACAACCCTGCAAGGTGGGTGTTGTGATTGTCCCCATTTTGTACAGATATGATTGAAACTAAAGGCTTCTCTGCTGGCTCAGTGGTAAAGAATCCACCTGCCAATGCTGGAGATGCAGGTTTGATCCCTGAGTCAGGAGGACCTCCTGGAGAAGGAAGTGGCAACCCACTGCAGTATTCCTGCCTGGGAAATCTCATGGACAGAGGAGCTTGGTGGGCTACAGTCCATGGGGTCACAAAAGAGTTGGACACAACTTGGTAACTAAACAACAATAATGGGGAAACTAAAGTCCAAAGAGATCAAATAACATGCTAAGGACACACAGCCAATCAACAACAGAGGTCGAATATGACTCTTGATCTTTTGACTCAGTTCACAGCTGAGGAAACATCTAACATGCGAAGAAGTTGGGGTCAGACCTCATCAGGCTGATTTTGTGGACTTAATGTGGTGGAGAGGACCACAGACATGGTATCAGAGGACGTGGCTGTAACTGCTGGTGGTTCTAGTCACAAGCCATGTGACTTTCATCTCCTGGGGCCATGGTGCCTCAGTGAGCCCGGCCTCCCGGGAGACCTTGGGCACTGGGAAACACGATACACGCACCTTAATCAGCAGCAACAGCTCCCGGTCTCCGAGAGCGTGGTGTTTTAGTCCCAGAAGGAGCTCGTGGTGTTGGCACTGTGAGCATTCTAGGCGGTGTGCGGGTTAGTCTCAGGATGCCCGCCCGAGCTCAGGGCTGGGGAGCGCTGGCAGGAAGCAGGGTCTGCAGGGGTGTGGGCTGGCGAGTGGCAGGGCTCCAGGTTGGGCCTCCTCCCTGCAGCCCATCCACAGGTGGGCTGTGCCATTCATCGCAGGTGTCAGGACCCTTTCCGGGGGTCTCCGCCCTCACAGAAGGCTGGGGGCTTCAGGAGTGACATTTCAGAGGAACTCTTCCTAGATAAAGGATGATATTCTTAAAAGATAGTTTTGTATGATGAGAAGAGTCCAGAATATAGTCAGACCCTGGACTCTGGTTCCAACTGTGCTGTTTACAAGGACTTTCTTTAAACCTTGGAAATGTCACTTGATCTCTCTGGGTCTTTGTTTTTTAGTCTTGAGATGGACTTTGTAGGACCTGCCCTTTCTACCTCAGAGTTATTGGGAGAGCCAGGTGAGGTGTATGAGAGCCCTCTGGCAGACACTGATGCAGGTAGTGATTGCTAAGATGATCAGTTTTTCGTTTTCTTCCAAAAGTGAAAAATATTAAATTGGCCACCCTTGACCCCAGTGCTGTGTATTAATATAAGGTACTGGGTTAGGTGTTTTCTCACCAAATTTCTCTAACATTTTGGAGAGACAGAAGGTGGCACGCAGGAACTCCCCTAGAGGCAAGGTCCACACGGCTGAACGATCCCAGAAGTCACAGCACGGGCCGGGTGGGTCAGGGTGAGACTCCTGCTGCTTCCTTGATTGTTTTAGATCCCTGGTTGGGGAAGGAGTGAGACCGCTGGGTGGCCAGGAAGAGCCTGGGCCTCCCTTGCCCTCTCAGAGCCTGATGTGCTGGTGGATATGCCTTGTTCTGTACGCATGCGCGTGTACCCGACACATGGAACACAGGCCCGACACACAGGCAGCAAACGTAAACATACAGACGCCACATACAGTCACACGTATGCCACACGGGCACACCCTAAACACAACAAACAGCCTTATTCACACACACACAACAGACGTGCTCACACATGTGCACAGGCTCTAAGAAGATAGGAATTGAGCTTAGGCCCTACAGAAAGTGTGGTTGGTGTCCTGTTGACTTTAAACTACTTAACAAACACTCAACCTCATATTATAGTTGTTCTTTTAGAAGCCTTTTAAATCACACTTTATATCAATTAAAAAAAACTCCCAAGTGGGCTAAAAGAGTAGAAGAATCAGATCCTAGGAAAGCGCTTTAACACGCTCTAGAGCCTGTGGATGGAGTTAGAAGGGTGTCCCTTGCCCTGCCTGCAGAGTACAGAAGCGAGGTTGTCTTTGGGTGACCGCCTAAACCAGGGAGGAGGGAAATATGTGTGGGTCCAGCATAGACTGGGAAGACAAGGGTAAAAAATGTGAGGGTCCCCGGAATTGTGACCCCAGAAGATCTGCCCTAAGGTGGCTCTGCCTCTTCCCTTACTCACTTCCCCTCCCCAAGAAGCTTTTTCTGCACAACCCCGCTGTGTTCTGCCGCCGTGTCCCGCAGACACTCCCTCCTGTGTTTACACTTGACTCGGCCACCCTGGAGCCGGGGGGTGACAGCCTTCCTGGTTGGTTTGCTTGCCCAGTCCTCCCTCCCACCCTCTCATTCTCCCTCACCCTTCCTCCCGTTCTTTCTCTTTCATTTGGTACATAGTCTTTCCCTCTCCATGTTCCTGAAGATCTCTGACGCATAAAGATGACATGTTGGGGGAGCGGTGTCCCAGTCTCTGGCGTCTCTCTGACATGGCTTGCTTGCTTTGACCTCCTTATTTGCTCCCTGGCATCATCCCAGGTCAGCATGGATGCTATCAGCCCAGCTCTGGAAACCGAATTTTACAATCCTCTCTACTCTAGAGCAGAGGTGGGCAGGGCTTGGGGAGAGAGGCCTGTGCCTGACCCATCCACAGAGCAGGCCGCACTTTCTTTAAGGTTTTCTTAGTTCCCGTTTGGGGAGCTCAGCCTTTCCCACTGCCTGTGTGGTCCGTGACCAAACCAGAATGAGAAACGAGGGCTGGGCCGGGGGGCGAGGCCTGCAGTGCTCAGGCACCCGGGGAGGTGTCCCTGGGCCCGGGCGAGGCGGTGGCAACCTCCTGCCTCCCTGTCATGGCCGTTCCTCGTGGGCAGCTTCAGTGCAGGTCCCAAACCAGAGTCCACAGCGGGTGAGTGACGGGCGAGAGCAGAGAGGGTGCTGGAGGCCCCAGGAGGATCGCCCTCCACTGCTCCTGGAGCCCAGGGGGCGTGGGGAAGACCCCGCGAGGGCTGCATCTGAGCCGCCCGTTCCTCCCTCTGCTGCAGATGAGTGAGAGCGAGGCTCTGATCAGTGTGGTGAACCGCATGGTGGAGAGCTCCTCCCCCAGCACCCAGCTCTTCATGCAAGTAAGGCCTCTGCCTGGCAGCACGCTCCCGTCAGCGTCATTTCCGCCGCTCGTGCATGGTCGAGCCCGCTCCTCTGCCAGGCCTTAGCCCTGGGCTCAGCCTGACCTTCCTCCTTTCATTCCCGGGGTCACCTCCATTCTTCATGTTCATGGGTGAACCAGGCTCATTCCCCAAACCATCAGCATAGCCAGCCCTGACATCTCGTGCCGTGCCAGGGATCACAGAGTGTCCAGGACTTCTTTCCTGCGTTCGGTATCTGCTTGCCAGTCGCTGGGGTGGAGAGCATGGGGGTGTGATGTGGAGCCTTCTAGTGAGTGTTGTGCAGAAGGGCTGTGGCTGCTGCATGTGTCACCAGTGGGAGGCACCTTTGCCGGACCAAGAGATGCCTCCGGTTTAGGCCCAGTCCCTGGGACTGGCACGTCATCTACTAGGGCAGTCGTTTTCAGATGCTTCCGATGCTCATTCCTTCTCCCAGATCTTATCCTCAAAACCAGCCAAGACTTAACTGTTGTTCACATGGTTGTTATGCATGAGCTGTTTGGGAGCTACCTGGCGCCGGAGCCCCTCCAGAACCGACCCAGAACCGCTGGGACGGGCTTCAGCCAGGCCACCCCCTGCTCTCCAGCGGGCAGAGCGCCGACTCAGCTCGGGTTCTGGAGTGGATGCTGCCTGAGCTGGAAGACTTTGGCTGGTGGCAGGATCAGGGCGGGGCCGTCCACTCGCCTGTGCCCGCACGCCCTGCCCTCTGCCGTGGTAACCAGTCTCCTGTTCCTGCAGGTCCCTCCATACCCAGAAGTGTTCCAGGACAGCCTCCACACCTACAAGCTGAACGAGCAAGGCACAGACGTAAGAGCAGCTGACTGCTTCCTCTGCCCCTCCGGCCCTGCCGCTGCCCCTCATTCCCACTCTCCCTGTGGGGGGTTTTCCTGCACCCCTCTCATCCGCTGTGGCCCCTCACACATCTGGTCCCTGTCCCGTCTCCCTGCAGAGACAGCGTGCTCTGCCCGAGCCTCCCCATCCCCTTCTCATCCTCACTGCTCACCCTACCTGGCATCATGGCTGCGTGTTTCTCTGCTGAGTGCGAGGCCCTCGTCTATAGCAGTGGCCCATGCTTATTTCAGGCACACGGGACTTTGGTAGGAAGTAGCCCCAGGTGCCTGGAAAGAAGAGCGCGGCCCCAACCCTCCTCAGGAAGCTTCTGGGCAGCGGGAGGCCTAGGTCTCAGCAGACCTGTCCCAGGGCCTGCAGGAGGGCAGGGCTGGGCACCATGAGAGCTGGTGGGCCTGGGACATGAGGAGGTGGCATATGAGCCAGTCTTGAAGTAAAGGACCTAGGGGACAAGATAGATTGGACAAGATTCTTGGTCCATAGAAAGGAGCCAAGGAAGGGGGTGTTTGAGGAGTGGTGTGAATACAGGTGTGGACACGGGAAAGCACACATCTCCCCAGTAAACAAGTGTGACTTCTCCTGCCTCTTCCCACTGGCCTTGCATGGGTGGCGGATCTGCCCAGCAGGCAGGGCACAGGCTCCGTGCGGGCCAGGACCAGACCTCAGAGGGACCCCAGCGTCAGCCGTCCTAAGACTCTGGAAAGAGGAGGGGAGGTCAGGGTCCTGTGGGACTCAGGACCAGTTTATATTGTTCACTGGTTTTGCTAAGACTCGTTTGGAAACTGGCGTACCCCTCCAATCCATACATACCTGGAGGCCTGGGAGGCGAGGCCGTGCTATCTCCTCAGCCCCTTGTGAACTGGGACCCCCAAGAGGAGGGGTGAGCAGGAACTTGATGTTTAGCTCTCAGCCCGCTCCCCTCTCAAGCTGACTCGCTTCCTCAGAGAATAAGTCCATCTCCTCCCCCAGTGGGTCTTTGGGGAGTCCCCCAGGGTGAAGACAACTTCCTGTTCCCAGGAGCCTCCAAGGTTAGGTGAAGGTCCAGGGTTCCTTGGCAGGGGAAAGGAGATGGTATCCAGAGGCCCGGTCCTGCTCATCCAGTTCCCAGGCCCCCATCAGGCTGTGTCCTTGACTTCCTTCCCTCTCCCTCCCTCCCTCTTTGGGGACCCTAGAAGCTGCTGGGCAAGTTGTGTGAGCAGAACAAGGCGGTGCGGGAGCAGGAGCGGCTGGTGCAGCAGCTGCGAGCTGAGAAGGTGAGAGCCGTGGGGTGGTCCTGAGTGGGCATACGGGGGGCTGGCTCAGAGAAGGGGTAGGTGGCTCCTTCATCCTCACTCAGCTGGTGAAGCTTTGTTCCTCCCCAAACCTCTGTCCTGCCCTTACTCAGCCCTGCTGAAGCTCCTCTGGGGACCTTGGCCAGTGTGAGGGAACCTCCGCTAAGCTGCCTGTCTGAACCCCTGTGGCTCCAGCCCTTGCTGCTGAAAGCCCCAGAGAGGAGTTGACAAGGCTCCTCAGAGCATTCCCCTGCCTTTCTTCAGGAGAGCCTGGAAAGTGCCTTGATGGGGACCCACCAGGAACTGGAGATGTTTGGAAGCCAGCCCGCCTACCCAGAGAAGCTGCTTCACAAGAAGGAGTCGCTGCAGAACCAGCTCATCAACATCCGGGTGGAGCTGTCTCAGGCAACCACGGTAACCCTGTGCTCCTACCCACTCAGGAGAGCCACCCCTCCCAGCCCGGGCTTCCCTAGTCCCGCTCTCCCCGAGGGCACGAGCAAGCTGTCTGGGGGGCTGTACGCGAAGCCCTTAATGCTGCCTTGCAAAACGGCAGCAAGCCTCCTCATCCCGTCAAGTCTCCACCAGGGAGCTTGGCTTCTTTCCCACAAGCCACATCTGCGCCAAGATTTGTTCACGACAAAGTGAAGTCAAGGGCCACTTACCTCCTTGGCTGCTTTAACAGCTTTGCTGCACTCCCCTGCTCTCCCCTCTCTGAAGAACCACGACATTGGCAACATGCCACCCTGGTTACTTCCTAGTAAGGCACCAGGTGGGCCTGCCAACGCAGACAGCAGCAGCTAAAGCCCTGAAAACTGAAGCCCGAAGGGAGGAAAGTGTCTAGGCTCCAGAGAGTGGACGCCCTAGCTCTCCTTTAGTCTCTGTCACCCAACCTGGGGAGAACACAAGGGGCGTAGGAGTGAGATCAACTCCTTTCAGCCCATCTGGAGAGGATCGTTTTCTCTCTGTTTGGGCATGCGGCAGGCTGGGCGGTTGCAGCTCCTCTAAGGCCCAGGTTTGGTTGTCATCACTGTCTCAGCCCTGCGCCTTCTCCCATCCCTCCGTGTCCTCCTCCCCGACCTGCCAGACCCCAGGTGCCCCGGCCCCGAGGCAGGACGAGGGGGGCGGTCTGGCGCTTGCGGCTTCTCAGTGAGCCCTCCGCTTGCAGGCCCTGGCGAACAGCACCCTGGAGTATGAGAGCCTGGAGGCAGAGGTCTCTGCCCTGCACGACGAGCTCTGGGAGCAGCTCAGCTTGGACCTGCAGGTGAAGCGGCTTCCGGGCAGGCGGGGCCCGTCCTTTGGTCCAAGAGAGACCACGGCATCTTCCTTTCACGCTTTAGAGATTTCAGAGACTGAAAACCGGGAGTTGGTCCTGGAATGAAAGACAAGGTTCAGTTCAGCTCAGTTCAGTCTCTCAGTCGTGTCCTACTCTTTCCGACCCCATGGACTGCAGCACACCAGTCTTCCCTGTCCATCACCAACTCCCAGAGCTTACCTAAACTCATGTCCATTGAGTCACTGATGCCATCCTACCATCTCATCCTCTGTCGTCCCCTTCTCCTCCTGCCCTCAATCTTTCCCAGTGCCAGGGTCTTTTCAAATGAGTCAGTTCTTCGCATCAGATGACCAAAGTATTGGAATTCAGGGCCTCTTAAAACAGATTCTGAGTTTCAGGGTGAAGATAATGTGGGAACATTCTTTAGTTCTGTCAAATCATGGGGGACAAAGAGAAGTTGAAGTGTGGGAGACTTTAACAGACATACAGATGTAAACAATGGCGAGTTTTTAGATGGGAGAGAGGCCTTCCTTTCTGGGGTGGGTCAGGAGTGCCTGCTTGGAGGCAGGAGGATGGATGCTCTTGGAGCATTCTCTTTTCCTCCCTCTGTCTCTTCTCTCCCCGGGCTCACTCCTTCTTTAGCTTGCTTTGTATGCCCTGTCTCTCTGAGGCAGTTAATGCCCTGCTTTCCCCCTTTTTCCTCCTGGTAACAAAGCTTACCACGCAGCCTTACAGCTGTTTAGGTGGGTGAGGTGAGGGCCAGAGGCAAGGCCTCAGTTCAACATGCACATTTTGGGAGACAGGAGAGCATCATGGTGAAGGTGCTGGCTCTTGAGACAAGTAGACCCAGATTCAAATGGTGGCCACACTGCTTACTGGCAGATGGCCTTGGGCGTGAGCCTCTCCACCTCTGAAGTGGGGACAACTGCTGTCCTTGCCTCAGAGAGGTGCTGGGCAGCCGCAGCGAGTTCGAGTGTGCAAAGCACTCAGCACAGCACCTGGTAGGGGTAGGGGGCGCAGGGAATGCTAAATAAAAGGGAGCTATTGCCTTTCAAAGAGTGGACACTGTAACTGAGTGGAACTCGTGGCAATTAGGCATAAGTTGGGTGCAGGCATTACGGAAGGGCTATTTGGCTGTGAAAGAAAACGGTCAACCTGAAGCTCCCGCCCCGGGAAAATAGGCCAAAGTGCCCACCGAAGGGGGCGGCCACTCCAAGGCTATCCTGCGCGCCCCTGGGTGGGGGCGGACCAGAGGGACCAGTCCTTGCTCTTGGTTCTGAAGTCACACGTGTCCTCAAGAGGGCTCTTCTCCCACAGTTTGGGAAGCTGAAGAGACAGAGGCTGCCCGTGAGGAAGCGTGTGCTGGAGGGATGTGTGTGTGCACGCGTGAGCGTGGGAATGCTCCCGCCGGGACACTCCTTGGTAGCGACTTCCTGTGACCTGCTCTCTGGCTGTTTCAGAATGAGGTGCTCAACCGGCAAATCCAGAAGGAGATCTGGAGGATCCAGGATGTAATGGAGGGGCTGAGGAAGAATAACCCATCCCGGGGCACAGACACAGCCAAGCACAGAGGTGGGTGCTCTCTCCAGCAGCCTCCTGGCTCCTGGCCTCAGTGGAAAAAGCGTATCTCTGGTCTCCATCCCGTAGCTGCCAACTCGTACCTCTCCAGGCCCTCACACTGTGCTCAGAGCCAGCCCGGGCCTTCTCAGGGCTCCAGAAACATCCCCCCACCAGAACAGACCAGATACACCAAAGAGGCTGTTGCCTTGATCCTCTCGATTCCTCCCTGGAACAGGGCAAAGAGCACCTGTGCTTTCCTGGCCCTCAGTTCAGTTCAGTCGCTCAGTTGTGTCCGACTCTTTGTGACCCCATGAACCACAGCATGCCAGGCCTCCCTGTCTATCACCAGCTCCCAGAGTTTACCCAAACTCATGTCCATTGAGTCGGTGATGCCATCCAATCATCTCATCCTCTATCGTCTCCTTCTCCTCCCGCTCTCAATCTTTCCCAGCATCAGGCTCTTTTCCAATGAGTTAGCTCTTCACATCAGGTGGTCAAAGTATTGGAGTTTCATCTTCAACATCAGTCCTTCCAATGAACACCCAGGACTGATCTCCTTTAGGACGGACTGGTTGGATCTCCTTGTAGTCCAAGGGACTCTCAAGAGTCTTCTCCAACTCCACAGTTCAAAAGCATCAATTCTTTGGTGCTCAGCTTTCTTTATAGTCTAACTCTCCCATCCACACATGACCACTGGAAAAACCATAGCCTTGACTAGAAAGACCTTTGGAGGCAAAGTAATGTCTCTGCTTTTCAATATGCTGTCTAGGTTGGTTATAACTTTCCTTCCAAGGAGTAAGTGTCTTTTAATTTCATGGCTGCAATCACCATCTGCAGTGATTTTGGAGCCATGGGCTAACTGGTGATCTGAAACCACTAGTTTAGTGTCTTCCTTCAGCCCAGGAACTTTGGTCTGGCTTTCTGTGACTCTTGAGGCAGTGGTATCATTTCCATCCCTTATCTTTTCCTTCCCAGCTTGCCTCTTGCTTGCTTGACAGCCAGCCTGCAACCCAGCCCCAGTCCCTTCAGCAGGCCAGGTGGCCCTGATGCCCTAAACCACCCCCTGCCTTCTCCACCTACAGAGCCCAGCCACACTCCAGGCCACACCCCTGCCCCTGTTCTCACCTCTCTCCTCTTCTGTTTCCCCAAGGAGGACTTGGCCCCTCGGGCACCTACAGCTCCAACAGCCCCGCCAGCCCTCTGAGCTCCGCCAGCCTCACCAGCCCACTGAGCCCCTTCTCTCTGGTGTCTGGCTCTCAGGGGTCCCCCACCAAACCTGGCTTCACTGAGGTAAGCTGAGGTTGTGGGATAGAAGGTAGGTGGGGGAGGGAGGACCCAGTCCTCATTTGCTTGAAACTGTACAAATTCTGTGCTTATCTCTTCCCCATAGGCCCCTCCCTGGGGCTCCGTCTCTCTACGATAGTCATTCTCACACCCAGTTTGTGAACTTCCCTCCAGATTTCTTCTTTACCTGTTTTATCTCCAGCTGTCATTTTTAGTTGCCTTTTAGGACAGTCTTCCTGAGAGCTCCATGATGGTTAGCAGAGATACCAAACACTTAATAGAAATTTAAATCTGGGATTGTTTTCAGGGACAGAGAGCTGAGGGTCAGTGTGGGGAGCATTTTCTGTCAGTAAATCAGCAAGTCTTTTCTGAGACTGGGCAAGGGATGGTATGAGGCCCTCTCAGAGAGATGCCTGCGGGGCTCTACCCCATTCCCAGTGAACAACCCTCCTCTGGAACATGGTGGGGTATGTCTCAATATTGAGCTGCACGGTTCAGACTGCAGAAGCTCCAGTGTTCCAAAGAGAAGGTGGAATCTAAACTGGGCCATGAAGCACTGGGGCAGGTAGAGGAACAGGCAAAAGGCGTTAGTTAGGAGAGATGGGAGAACAGGGGTAGGAGGGAGGGTGTGCCCAGAGTGATGGGGGCAGTGATGAGGAGAGAGCTCTGGAGAACGTGCTTGGGCCTCAGTGCAGGAGGGCCTCACGGGCGGGCAGGGCTCGCTCTGCAGGTGGGGTCCACCCCGGCTCGGGTTGGGGGTGAGGCGGTCCGGCCGCCCCGGCTCAGGTGGAAGTGAGTCACCCCGGCTCGGGTGGGGGTGAGGCGGTCCGGCCCGCCCCGGCTCAGGTGGGAGTGAGGGGGTCCCGGCCCGCCCAGGCTTGGGTGGGAGTGAGGGGGTCCCGGCCCACCCTGGCTCGGGTGGGGGTGAGAGGTCCGGCCGCCCCGGCTCAGGTGGGAGTGAGGGAGTCCCGGCCCGCCCCAGCTCGGGTGGGGGTGAGAGGTCTGGCCACTCCGGCTCGGGTGGGGGTGAGGGTTCCAGTTGCCCGGGGTTCCTGCAGCTCACGTCTGCCTCTGCTAACGTTCTCTTCTTCTGCTCTCACAGCGGCTGCTCTCTTTCCTCCTAATGCTCTGGCTTCTCTCTGCCTCAGGAGCCCGGCCCACCGCGGCCCCCCCTCCCCAAAGCCTACGTCCCCCTGGAGTCTCCTCCCACTGTGCCTCCACTCCCTAGCGAGAGCCGCTTCTGGCCGCACCCCAACTCCCCTTCCTGGCACCGCGGTGGTGAGACAGCCAGGGGTCAGGTACCCAGCGCCCTCGGGCCCCTAGGGCAGGGATGGAGGGAATGGGCCCGCAGGAGACCGAGTCACTGACCCTATTCCAGGGTTGACTTTCCCACGGCTCAGCGTTCCTGGCCTCTGTCTAGTCAGACTCTGGGATGAGCGAAGTGATGGCTGAGGCCCTTGTGCCGGCCCTCTTTCCTCTTTTGCTTCCTGTGGACAATGGAAAACTGCATTGCTGCCCTGCCCCGTGGCAGCCCATGGCTGTGGGCGGTGGGTTGGGCCCCGCTCCCTACCAGCGTGCCTGATGATGGAGACCCCGTGACGCCCCATCCCCACCAGCGCCGTTCCTGTCTCCTCCTGCCTTGGTCCACCTCAGCCCCCGGCCTCCCATGCTCTCCGTCTCCCCTTGCCTGTGTCTCTGCCTTGTCTGTGTCCTCTGGGCCTCACCAGCACCCGGAATGTAAGGATACACACACTTTCTCCCGTTCTGGCTCCTTCTCTCACCTGAATTGCTAGCCAAGGTTCAGGAGAAATGTGCAGTTAGGCTGGGAAGAGGTTGCGTGGTGAGTAGGAAGAGTTGTAAAACAGCCATTTACTGGTAATATGCACAACCCTCGAGGGTCTGCCTGGTGAGGTGGGCAGAACAGGCATCATTACCTCGGTTTTACAGACAAAAACAGGTGGTAGGACTCACCCAAGCTCTCCAGTTGGGCCAGAGCTAGTTTCTGACCTCTGGTCTAGTCACGTGGTTCTGGGGGTCCACAACCCCAATGCCCTTTTCCTTCCCACAAAACTCATCAGGTTTTCTTGTTGAAAAACCCGATAGACTCCTCAGAGATCTTTGGCTTTCTGGCCCCCTCTTCCAGTCATTCCTCCTCTGGCTCACAGCAAGTCTGTACATTTCATGTTTGCCAGAAGGGAATTTCTCTGATGAGCCTCAACTGGGGGCCTTCTGGAGACCCTGAGCCCTCATTCCACAAGAAGGCCCACACTGGCATGGGTGGGAGGCTCAAGTGCATCCTTGCCCACTTGCCAGCAAGTGCACACTTTCTGGGCTCCATGTTTCTATCAAAGGTTGGCACTCTAACCATTACAAAACAAAGAATGACCACCAGGGGCCAAGTTCTCGGTGGTTACTCTAGCACCGTCCATCCATCCATCTTCTCATCCTTTCTCCCTAGCCCAAGGCAAACTACGAGCAAAGCAAGAGAGACCCCCAGCAGACATCCCCCCTGGACACCTCTAGAGACATTAGCCTTGTGTCCACCAGGCAAGAGGTTGAGGCAGAGAAGCAGGCGGCTCTCAACAAAGGTACCCCCTGCCCCGCTGTCCCCTAGAAGCGAGGCTTCGCACTGGAGGGGAGCCCAGAGAGATGCTCGCTCACACCCAAGGAAGCGCTTCCCCAGCTGGGCCTCCACCTCTGCAGCGGGTGGAGCCAAGCCTCCTTGAGAAGGGGCAGGGCCGAGCCTCCCTGGGAAGGGGCGGGGCCGAGCCCCTCTGAGAAGGGGCGAATCTCTGTGAGCAACGGGCTGCCCTGTGTCCCTTTTTGTGGGACCCACTGGCCACTTTGTCTCCCTGCAGTGGGCATCGTACCCCCACGGACCAAGTCACCCACTGATGAAGAAGTGACTCCATCGAGGGTGGTGAGGCGGAGTGCCAACGGGCTCACCAATGGCCTCTCCTCCCGGGTGAGTGCACGCCCGCGGGCCCCAAGAGCTTGGCAGGCCGAGCTAGGCTGTGTGTCCACCTGTCTGTCACAGTTCAGGAAGCCCGGGGCTAGAGGAGGAAAGTAGAACAAGAAGGAAGAAGGGAAGCAGGGGAGTTCTTCAAGAAGACACGTCATGAGACGAGGAAGCTATGCATAATAGAGATATTATATTGAACAACATTATTATGATGTGCCACTGATGAAACACAAATGCAAAAGTCAGTGGTCAGAGTCACATGTGCTGGCCAGAGGCACTGTGTTAGTTTCCCAGGAAGTTAGCAAAATGCCGCGAATGTGGTGACTGAAAACAAGAGAAGTTATTCTCTCACCATTACAGGGGCCAACGTCCAGAATCAAGGTGTCCGCAGGTGGGCTGTGTGTGCAGGCTGAGGGAGCACCCATTCCGTGCCTCCCTCCTGCCTTCTGGCTGTTGCTGGCAGCATTTGGCTTGTAGACACATTCTTTGGCTTGTAGACACGCCACCCCAATCTCTGCCCCACCTTCACATCACCTTCTACTCTGTATGTCTCCTTGTTCCTGTTGCTTATAAAGGCATCCATTATTCAATTTAGAACTCACCGCAATTGAAAATGATCTCATCTTGGGCTCCGTAGCTTAATTACACCTGCAAAACCTCCATTTCCAAATAAGGTCACATGCACAGATACTGCGGTTAGGACTTAGATGTACCCTTCGGGGTTCACTATGTAACCCGTTACAGGAAGGCTTCCCAGAGAAGGGAAATTTTAAGGGATTTGGGCAGATAAAAATTCCGGGGGCAGGGGAGGGCACCAGTCCGAGTCCTGTCCTCCCCCAGCAGCAGGAGCGCCCCAAGAGTGCTGTGTTCCCTGGCGAAGGCAAGGCCAAAATGAGCGTGGAGGAGCAGATGGACCGCATGCGGCGGCGCCAGAGCGGCTCCGCGAGGGACAAGCGGAGGAGCCTGCAGCTCCCAGCCAGCCCCGCCCCCGACCCCGCCGCCCGGCCCGCCTACAAAGTGGTAATGTCCTCCCGGCCCCACAAACACGGCCTGGCGTCTGCCAGCACTGCCCACCACCAGGCGTGGTCACCCTGAGCCGGGGGTGGGGGGGCCCAGGGGAGGAGGAAGTTTCAGCAGGGAGGGGCCGGGACGGACCCAAGCTGGGCAACTGGGAGACCTGGGGGAAGCGTCTCCCACACTGGACAGAAGACATATTGCAACTAGTGTTTGCCTCTTTTGTGTTTTAAGAAAAATCACTCACCAAAAGAAATGCCTTGATTATTTTAGTTGAAGTGAATTATACAAAATTCATTGAATAGAGAATAGCACAGAATCCAAAACCTAGAAGTAGCCATCACTTGTCCATGTTTCTGGAACATTTCCTATGTGCTTAACATTGGGCTGGGGGTGACTGAAGGTAGTCGTCATAGCTCACCAACACATGGTGCAATACAAGTCACAGCCCCTTTCATCTCGTTCAGTCGTTTCAAGGATACTGGACTAGGAAGTGTTACCCCCATTGTTGTTGTGGTTCAGTCACTAAGTCGTGTCAGACTCTACGACCCCATGGACTGCCGCACTCCAGGCTTCCCCATCCTTCACTGTCTCCTGCAGCTTGCTCAGATGTATGTCCATTGAGTTGCTGATGCTATCTAACTGCCTCATCCTCTGTCACCGCCTTCTCCTTTTGCCTATAGTCTTTCCCAGTATCAGGATCGTTTCCAATGTTGGCTCTTCAAATGAGGTGGCCAAAGTATTAGAGCTTCAGCATCCGTCCTTCCAATGAATATTCAGGGTTGATTTCCTTTAGAATTGACTGGTTTGATCTCCTTGTAGTCCAAGGGACTCTCAAGAGTCTTCAGCACCACAATTCAAAAGCATCAATTCTTTGGCATTCAACCTTCTTTATGGTCCCACTCTCACATCCGTACATGACCACTGAAGAAACCATAGCTTTGACTAGACGGGCTTTTGTCCCCATTTTAGAGACAGGGAAAGAAGTCATCAGAAATTAAGGAGCTCTGGGCCACACAGTTCCTAAGTGCAGAGCTAAGAGTAGCCCAAACTATGGGCCTAACTTCTCTTTCCACTAAATTTCAGAAATACAGAAAATTATGACCCATAAATCCTGCCCTTCTTTCATGTGATAAGGCTAGAGATCCATGTAAGACACACTGATTCCGTTACTCAAAATATATGGCCCAGGATGTGAACACAGGTGAGGCAGGTGGAAAGAGACAGGCACTGACAGGCGGCAATGATGAGGTGTCTCCTCCACACCCTTGTAGGTGAGCAGGCTCTGGACAAGCACCATGGAAGGAGGGTAGCTTTGCAGTGTGCGTGGTGGGGTGGTGGCCAGGCCAGGCGTGCTGGGCGGGGCCGCCTGGAGGCAGCAGGACACAGGCCCCGCGCGGTCCTGACTCTGCCGCCCCCCAGGTGCGCCGCCACCGCAGCATCCACGAGGTAGACATCTCCAACCTGGAGGCGGCCCTGCGAGCCGAGGAGCCCGGCGGGCAGGCCTACGAGACGCCGCGGGAGGAGATCGCCCGGCTGCGCAAGATGGAACTGGAGCCCCAGCATTATGACGTGGATATCAACAAGGAGGTGACTGGAGTCCAGCAAGGGCAACGCCGGGGGCGGGTTGTGGGGGGGTACAGCAGAAGGGAGTGCAGGCAGTGACCTCGTTTCTCCACAGCTCTCCACCCCGGACAAAGTCCTCATCCCTGAGCGGTACATTGACCTGGAGCCCGACATGCCCCTGAGCCCAGAGGAGCTGAAGGAGAAGCAGAAGAAGGTAGAGAGGATCAAGACGCTCATTGCCAAGTCCAGGTAACAGGCCTTGGGTGAACCTCTACTTCCTCCACCCACCTTGACACCCACGACTTCGAGGGCACTAGTGCTACTGAATCCAGTGCCCGGACACATGTGGTTGGGTCTCCCATGCCTCCCACCATGGAAGAAGTGGTTCGAGGCGGCAGACTGGGCTGAGACACGTGGCCGGGTCAGTGACGCAGCCCTCGGTGCCACAAAGACCTCCTGGGCTCATGCACGTGCTCTCATCAAGACAAATGGATGAGTTGCCTTCTGCTGACTTCACTTCCCCATCAAGGCTGCCCTGAATGTTCTCTTAAACCTTCTTGTTCATCTTCAAATGTTGGGGGCAGGGGTCCTGACATGCATTTGCCAGGGTCCTACTCACCCCAGGGGACAGGCTTGGACACTCACAGGCCCCTGGACCCCCACCACCCTCAGCCCGCAGGTCCCCCAAGCCAGCTGGACCATCCTGCCCCCTCCATGTCTGTGTGTCTGTGCCTCTTCAGTATGCAGAACGTGGTGCCCGTCGGCGAGGGGGACTTTGTGGACGTGCCCCAGGACTCAGAGAGCCAGCTGCAGGAGCAGGAGAAGCGGATTGAAATCTCCTGTGCCCTGGCGACCGAGGCCTCCCGCAGAGGCCGCATGCTGTCTGGTGAGAGGGGCTGGGCCTCGCTCTGCCAGGGAGACCGGCTGCCCAGGAGTAGGGGAGGCAGTGTGGCAGGGGCGAGCGTAGAGCAGGGTGGTGTTCCTTGAGGCCAGGATGAGCACTTATTGAGCACCAGGGACTGTGCTAGGCTCCCGGGGTGTGAAGGGACCAGAGTCGCTGACATCTGGGAGCTTGGAGTCATGATGACCCGCCTGACTGCTGGTTGGAGGAATGGCCAGAGGCCGTGTGGGGAATGCAGGGAGCTGCGCAGGTTCAGGAAAGGCCCAGAGGAGGGGTGATGACTGAGCTTGATGGGGAGATATGCAAGGGTGTGCCAGTGGCGGAGTGAGGGCCAGTGTTCCAGGGCATTGTCCGGCTTCCCATTCGTGCTGCAGGCAAATAGCAGGAATGAAAAGGGGAGATGGTACCAGTAGCCAGTACAGTCACCACCTTGGCTGTTGACCCAAACCCACTTTCTTGCTAAGAAAAGGTGCGTGTAAGGAGCTGACTTCACACTGATACAAAGGCTAGTGGGTCTTAGTGGACACTATGGGGTTGTAGTCAGTAGAATTAACTTCTCTTCAGCCAGAAGGGAAGCACCTGGAAAAGAGGAGAATGTAATTGGGAAGAATGGAAAAAACTCTGTGAATGGGAGGCTTTGTGATGGAGGAAGTGGTCAAGTCACGAAGTCTCGGAGACAGAATATTCCCTCTTCCTCAGCACGAAAGGTGCTTCGGATGGAGAGGGGGAAGGCTCCAAAGGCCAGTCAAGATGAATGCCCTAGATAGATGCCAGGCTTGTGATGACTTTAGTTGTGCCGGCCACAGTTCTAATGCCCTGGGTGAGTGTCAGATTAGGATCGTAGCTAGATACACAGAGGAAGGAAAGGCTTTTCATGTTAGTGACACAGGAGGGTTTCAGTTCTGGCTCTTTTCTGCATCTGTAAAGTTTAAATCAAGATACCTGCCTAGGGCTGTGATGGTGGAAACAAGGTGTGCTCAGCACCTAGCACCGTGCCTGGCATTCAGTAACTGCTCAGTAAAGGCTCCCCTGTAGGAGCAGTATCCTAGCGCTGGTGGTCGTATTAGTTGAAATAGCAGCAGCTAAAGTAGAAACAGGAGCCGTTTGTGGTTTTTCTAGCTATTTTAAATGTGGATATTTTCAGAAACCAAAGGGTTTTGAGATACAGCAAAAGGGATCTAAGTAAGCTTTAAGGAAGAACCTACTAGCAGTGGGGTGTAAGTGGACTTTAGAATGGGTGGCCGGGAAAGTCCTTGGAGATCTTTCAGAAACAAGCTTTCAGTTGGCAGGAGTGGAGAGCAAGAGAAGTGATAGGCTTCAGAGAGCCCCATCCTGCAGCCAAAAGGCAGCAGAACCAGTTTGGCTACAAGGAAGCTTCTGTCAGCCGCCCTGTAGTTTAGCTACAAAATGAACCCAAACCTTCCAAAGATCAAATTCCGCATGCTCTGGGCAAAAGGCAATTTCCTGCTTCAGGAGTTAGAACACATGGTGCTATTCAAACTTCCCTCTGCCCCTCCCCAGCCCTGGCTCTCCCTGCTACAGCTCCCCTGCTGAAGGCGTTGTGAAAACAAAGCTCACCCTGGCTTTTCAGATTCTCCCTTGATACACACGGGCTTACATTCCAGAGTCCGTGTGCGGAAAGCCAGTGGTCACCCTGCTTTTGCCAAAACCCCAACTATTTAAAACACGGCCGTGGCCCGGCCAGACCTCAGACTTACCCTGTCCCCACTGCCCCGGCGTGTGGCTCACGTTTCCAGAGCCCGGCTCTGCCAGGCACAGCAGACGCTGTGTGGGGAGGGTGCCCGTGGGCTGGTGCAGCGGGCAGGGGGTACAGTTAGGGCCTGAGTGCAGCGTGTGGCGTGGGTGCTGAGGTGGGCGGTGAGCTTGTAGCCGTTGTTAGTGTTCCTGGTATGCAGTACATGGAAGATGTGGCGATCTTAAGTTTGTCCATGTGGCATGACGCCATCACAGTGTCTGTACTGGGTAATGGTTGTAGGTACATATGTATGTGTGTGTATTCACGTATGTGATGTATGGGTGGAGGGAATGTTTGCAAATATAGGAGTGTGTCTGTGTGTGTAAAATTTCTGTGGGTGTTGTGCAGAGACAGCAGTACAGGTGGTGTTTGGGAAACTGTTGCTATGAGAGCACAATATATAGGTGGTGCTTAAAAATGCACACATTTACATGTGATGGGCTTTCTTTGCAGTGTGATGGATGATCAGGGCTGTTTGTGTATATGTTGTGCACAGTGTGTGTATGGAACTTTGTGAAGACACGCCGATGTGTGCAGGATGGAGAGAGCACAGCCTCCTGAATGGAATACGTGTGACTGATTACTTATATGTGCAGGTGTGGTAGTACTTGTCAACACACAACTGAAGTACTTGTGAACGCACATTGTACAATGCCTATCCGCTACGTATGTGAACTTATTTTGATGGACATATTCATAATCTGTGTTTAGTATTTTTCTGATTTCTTGAAGAGGTTGTATTAAACATAATTAATCTTTCTTGTTCTAGCTCATTTAGTATCATTATGCATGTACGTGTGCTAAGTCACTTCAGTCGTGTCCAACTCTTTGCGCCCCCACGGACTGCAGCTCACCAGGCTCCTCTGTCCATGGGGATTTCCCAGGCAAGAATACTGGAGTGGGTTGCCATGCCCTCTTCCAGAGGATGTTCCCGACCTGGGATCGAACCAACATCTCCTGTACTGGCAGACGGGTTCTTTACCACCAGAGTATCATTATAAATGTCCCTATTTTGCTGACCTCTGTGCAAGAAATGTCCTTGGGGTCTCTGATCCGTACAGATCTGTTTGTGGCCCTGCTAAATGCTCCCAGACTGCGGCGGTTTTAAAGTTAATGTGTCTACTTTTCACAGATTCTCTCTCTTTCACTTGCGCCTCAGTGGGCCTCTCAATTCCTCTTTCTCTCTCCCTCTCCTAATTTTCCTGTTTCTAATCTCTCATGGGCTAGAAACCCAGCAAGTCAACACCTACCATAATTGTGTTTAAATAAGAGTATCTGCACTCCAAGGAGCTCTTCAATGGATAAATTGTAAGAGCTTTATTGCATGTACATGTAACATCTATTTGGCTTCCTTGAGCCCTTCCTTGCTTAGGTTTTGGTTTCTTGACTCTTAGGAATTGAAGTTACCACACAACTAACTGTTGGGTATGTGATACGGGTGTGCACATGAATGTGTGTTTCAAAGGTGTTTGTGGGTGTATTTGTATGAAAAGTGACAACTGTGTTGGGTTGTGTACAGGCGCAGGTTCAGCCATGCCCACACACACACATGAGTTGTGTGTGCTGAGTAGAAAGGTGTGGGGATGCTGGACCCGTGCAGACTTTCCTGTCAGGGAGGGCGCTGTCTTCTGTATCTGTGTGGCGTGTACAGATGTGCCGCGGGGCTGCGTGGGCCTTCTCCTGGGCAGAGGCCAGGGAGGGTGATGAGGGCCCAGGTAGGGCGGGAACAAGGGTCTGGGAAGTCCGGTGCCAGTGTCCCTCTCCTGGGGGAACAGTGTGACCCCGGCCCAGGTCTGGTTCTTCTCTGAGCCTGAGTGAGGCCGTTCTCCCACAGCCGCACCAGGGTCTAGAGACTTGCAGAGCTTGTTCCTAACACTACGACTCCTCCTTCCTTGTCCTTTTCCTTCCTTGTCCTCCTTCCTTTGCCGTTCTCAGCATGGAAGAGAATGATAATAGAGTAAAATCTCATTAATTCAAATGTCACCACTTTGGGGCTTAAATGATCTGTTTAGAGGTGGATTGAAGTTGGCCTTTCCTGGATGGATGAAAAGAGATCTCAAGTGACAGTGGGGAACCGCTTTTGAACCCTCCAGCCGAAGTTAACAGACTGGTTAACCATCAGGAGCCTCCATCCTTATGGAACTGATAAACACTGGGATCACTTTGAGTCATTGAATGAGGGCCTGGTGATTTGGATTAGTGTGATTTTACTGCACTATTAATCATGGTCCTCAGTGATATCACTGCCTCTGAGGTGCCACCCCTCACCCTGTCCACAGTCGTGGGGAGGTGTGTCTCCCCGCTGCACAGATGGAAGGGGAGCCTTAGGCTCAGGGGGGCTGGCTTCACCCCCAGTCACCCTGGTTCTCAGCAGAGCTTGGATTGGGCCAGGTCTCCTCTGGGGCCCCATGCTCTCCTTCATGGCGACCCTGGAACCAGCTCTGCTCAGCTTGAACAGATGCCCAAGCTCAGCGCTCCTCTCTGCTTGCCTCCTGCCTTGCTCCCTGCGTGGAGGAGGGCCTCGCTTGCTCTGGGCACCCGGCCTCCCGCCTCTGCCTTCCTCCCCCCGCAGCCCCTATTCACTGCCCTGTTCATTTCTGTTTCCAGTGCAATGTGCCACCCCAAGCCCTCCCACCTCCCCTGCCTCCCCGGCTCCACCAGCCAACCCCCTACCGTCTGAACCCCCGCGGGGCACCGACAGCAGCCATGTCATGCGGGTCTGAGCTCTGACGTAAGCACCTTTCTACCGTATTTCATCCAGCCCCGGGAGCGGGACCCCTGCCCTCCCCTGCGAGCCGCCTGCACCCTCCATCCCGCCCGCCATCGCTTCTCCCTGCGCCCGCGCCTCGCCGCTCTTCCCCTCCGCCCGTCCCGCGCGGTGCTGGGCTGGAGCCGGCTGGCAGGGCTGCTCCTGGGAAGCTGCAGTGCCAGTGGCTTTGCATCTCCAGGAGCAGAGGGGACAGAGGCTGCTCCTGTCCGCTGTCAGAGGGCCGCCCCAGCTGCCCACCCCTGCACCTCCTGTCAGCCCGCGAGCCTGCCGCCTGCTGAGATTCACAGCCTCCCTGCCTCAGAAGCCTCTAGAAGCTGCTTCTCCCAGATCTTATCTCTCCCAGATCGGGCCCAGGTCTTCCATAAATTAAAGTGGCCCCAGACAGCTCTAGGCAAAGGCTGTGTCCCTTCCCCCTAGCACATAGCCCCTCAGTATCAGGCAGCTGAACAGGAACTGACTTCTGTTCCTCTGTCCCCCTCTCTCAGGGTTGAGGGGTGGTTTTTGCAGGAGAGACTTCTTTCTGGGCGGCTGGGCTGGAGAGTCCACCCCCGTGCAGCACCTTCTCACCCGTGTCTCTCTCCTCCAGTGCAAGCCCTGGCCGAAGCCAACGCCGTGAAGCTCCAGAGAGCCACGTTCTGAAGCCCGCCTCTGCCCATCTGCCCACCCTGGCCCCCCGCCCCTGCGTTCCCGCAGGAATGCTGCGGGGAGCCAGGCCAGGGGCTCGGGTTGCCGCCGGCAGCAGCACAGACACAGCGGTGTCCACATCCCTGGGACTCCGGCCCCGAGATCCTCGCTACTCAGACAGTCACCCTAGGCCGGGGTGTCAGGCGGCGGGGTGAGGAGCGCCATCCTGTCTGCTGCACTCGGCACAGGGAGCCTCGCTTTGGCCCTGGCTGGGGTTGTGACAGCCCTACTGGAACATTCCTTGGTGGAGAAGATGCCCTGGTGGGGAATGCATCCTGGGCCCTCTTAGGGTAGCACTCGTCTCTTGATGCCGAGAGCAAGACCTGCCATCATCCCCTTCCATCAGCCCCGCCCTGCTGTCCAGCAGTGCCCCGAGTCTTGGCACATCCCTGTTTATTGGGTGCTCCTTTGGGGTCCAGTAGAGACTGACCACCCTGCCTGAGCCAAAGACAAGCTGACGAGAGATGGGAGAGGCTCCTCGGCTCCCAGAGGGAAGCGCTGGCCATGAGTGGGAAGCGGCAGGTGTGTGCAGCGTCTGAGGGCAGGTTGAGAAGGGGTAGCAGAGAGAGGGGGAGAGGTCTCAGGAGGGCAGGAGGAAAGGGAACGGCAGGGCTCATGCGCGAGGAGGAGGGGGAGGACAGAGATGAGAAGGGAATGGGGTCGGTTTCCCCGGGGCGGAGCCTTAGGTTAGTGCCAGGCACAGCGCCAGGTGTCAGCTCTGCTCTCCCTGCCTTGTGCCGGGATCAGGGGCTGCCAGCTCAAGGACCCACCATGGAGCACGCTGCTGGGGGGCGGAGGTGTGAGCTGAGGGCCCGGGGAGCGCTAGGCTGGGTCTGGGCCTGATGTCAGCCTCCACGTCCTGGGGTCAGGAGCAAAGACGAGGACCTGTCTTGGTCCTTCTGGAAGACCAGAAGGTGTGGGGTGGTCAGAGTGTGGAGCGTGTGGTCAGCCAGGGGGCCATCCCTAAACATTTCTGTGACACCACCTTATCTCCTTCCCCCTGGAATGTGCTGTGGGCCAGCTGAGTGTGTGCCCCAGGAAAGCAGATGTGGCCTGAAACTGGTAGGCCAGATTCTGGAGCCCTGTGTCCCACAGTGGGACAGGTTGAAGCTGTTGGAGGGTCTCCCTTCTCGCGTGGCTCATTCACACCCTTCCTTGCCAGGGGGCCAGTGGTGGAGAGACAGGAGCAAAGCCTCTTGTCCCTCTGCTCCACCACCTTCAGATGAATGTAGCCAGAGAAGAGGGAGGAGACAGAGGGAAAACCCTCGGCCCCTAGACCTTCTCTTTGCCAGGGTTGCTTCCCTGAGACTTCAACCTGACCTCTAGCAACCCTGAGAATGATTACTTCATCTTCTAGCAATTCCTCTCCACTCCTTCATGGCTGGGACAGTTATGGTTCATACGCAAGTAAAGCTGACAATTCATTCAACAAATATTTATTGAGCACCTTTTATGTACCAGGCACTGTTCTAGGTGCTTAGGATATTCTCGTGTTTCTGAGGGTTTACAGACAGGAGGATTCTGACCCTCACGTCTAGCAGGTTTTTGTAAACGTGACCCTTGGCTGCATCTCCCATCTTCAGCAAGGCTCAAGCACCCCAAACTTGTCCTTTCTGCCCCAAAGACTGGCAGGTGGGATCAGCTCCCAGGTAACCCTCCTCCCCTTCTCCATCCTCTCCCACACCTTGTCCATCCGTAAAAAGCAGATTATTGGGGCCCTTCCATACCTTCCCCTTTCTTTGTGTCTCTTTTTTTTAAGTGATATTTTTAGAAATACATGTGAAATACCAAGGATTAATGTCTGCCCCTCTGAGACCTCTCTTTCACCTCTTTTTCATAAAGCTGGCTCTTTATGTTGCTTTACATGCCTTAATATATGTTTTGTGAAGATTATCATATTATAGATGTATATGTAATATATATATACACATATATATTTGTTTGGACATCTGATCCTTTCCTGGAACTCCTGCCCAGGCCTGTTTTCCTTCCTTTCCTTTCCACATCATTCCAAGCATACTGCGGCCATACCCCATGCCTTTTGATCCAAAGAAGGGGAGAGGAGTTATTTTAAGACAGATCTATTTTACGTTTTTGTTATAAAAGCAAATCTATTTTCAAAATGTGCAATGTCTGAATGGAATTGGCAGACGATGTGAGGGACTGGGGGGGCTGCCTGTAGGTCCAGCCCTTCACCCTTCCCTCCTCCTCAGCAGCTTCCTTCTTCCCATTCCCAGTCTGCCAAGGGCTGGTCTCCAGGACTCAGCCGGAGAGGATCTTTCCAGGGTGGGACATTCTCTTGCAGTCCTGGTCTAAGGATTTGATTACACTGTCAACTTTTGATGACTCTCTAGGGTTATTGAATGTGAACCTTTTTGAAGAAATGTTTACAGTTGTGTGCACAAAAGCAGACCCTTGCAGGTATACACACCCCAGATGTGCTCCTGGACCACCACCTTTATCACCCTGCTGGAATATGCCAAACAGCACTGAGAATGTCGGCCTGTGGTTTGATGGACCCAGCACACGGTGCAACGGCCAGTGGAAGCAGTTTGACATCTCTGGTCCTTCGGGGCAGACACATTCAAGTTCCTTGGACTTCTCACATTCCTCTTCACTTGGTCCCTCTCTGGTCTGGGTGACACCTATGGCACCTGCCTCCCTCTGTGACCTTTCTTCTGGGGCCCGTTGTTAAGGGGATGGTACCCCAGTCTGGCATCCAGACTGTGAAGTCAGCCCTGAGGGTCCGAAGGACAAGGTGCGTCTCAGCCTTGCCCAGGACTTTCCTGCTGCTGGGGCCCTGAACTAAGCCGGCTCAGCCTTCCAAACTGCTTCTTGACTACTGAAGTGGGCAAGGGGCTCTTGCTTTGCAAGGATTTGGGCAGAATGGAAGTCTTTTGTCCAGATCTGGAATCAAAGGTTTTGGAACCTAGCACAGAGCTCCTGGCCAGCATTTGAAGCCTGGCCTGCCACTTTGACCTTTGCTGGCACCCTATTCCCAGCCTAAAGCATCTTGCTAGGAATGAAGGGGGCCTGGGTGGGGGCCCAGAGCTAAGTTACCCACCTGGGGAAAGTCCTGGTTACTAATCTAGGGCCTTCCCAATTAACACATTACCTCCCTCAACAATAACCAGGAGGCTGTAACCAAGTACTAATGTTGTCACTTTAGAGATTTTCTGAGGTTGAAGGCTGTGTGTGCTTGCTCACCTGCATTGGTGAGAGGGATGCTCTTGGAGCAGGGCTGACTATAGCAAGACAGAAGTAATTCCCTTCCCTTTAGGCAGCCCCTCACCTGGCAGCTCTTAAAACTAAGGAAAATATGAAATATACATATATATACATATATCTATTTATGCACATATTGGGGCCAATTTGATTTGCTAGTATTAGACAATAAACTATACAAGGAAATTTATGATCTTGGTGTCTTTATTTAGTATAAAAGTGGCCTTAGGAGAAGAGTTACGGTTAGATAAACAGTGAGTACCTGCCAGGGCTCTGTAGCAGCCCCTTAGCATCTTTCTAGCCAACAAGGCCCTCCCCAGGATTTGATTACACACGATGATTTGCCATCGCGATGACAGGTGAGAGCTTGCGTCCTTCTCAGCAGCATTCTTTCTGTAGATACAGGTACTGAAGCACCCAGTGAACTCTGCATTTGTATCTTGCAAGTTTGTATAAACCCAATATGGGAAATAAATGGTTCGTACAAGTGGCGTGTCTCTGGCACTCTGTGTCCATGTCTGCCGGTGCTTGGCCTTGGGGTCCATGGCAGTTTACGCCCTTGGCAGAAAAAGGGGGAGGAGGCCTGGGGCCAGGCCTTCCCTAAGCAACCTGGGAAGCACATACCACCCACTCCACCTAAGCTGTGGGCTGCCCACCTTGGCCTCCCTCCCAGGCAGGAATCCCAGAATTCTCAGAAGCATGGGACCTCCCCACAAACTGGGGCTGATGGTTTGTTGTCAACACCACTGTCATCTTTTTGATCCACGTGATCCCAGATCAAGACTAGTCCCAAGAACCTGAACAATGGAAGTATCAGATGCTTTAGGCCCTGGAACCTTCCACTGACGTCAGGGTTGGGGGTGGTATCAGAAAGGCTGCCTGAATTCTTTTCATCTAGCTTCAGAGATTTGGGGCCACATCTCTTGGCAGGTACTCAGTGGTTATCATTTATTGGCACTCAGTGCGAAGGACTTCAGCAGAGCTGCTCAATTTGAAATCTGTTCGTGAGGAGTGAGAATTAAGAGTAAGAATTCTATAGGGAAGCGGGTGGAGAGTGAACATGAACCCAGGACAGCAGCAGACTTTGCTGGGCTTCCGCAGGGGGTCTGGGGAGAGAAGGCGGCATTCATGGTTCAAGAAAGGATACAGGAAGGCAAGCCTGATTAGCTTGGTTCTAATGGCTGGTTTTGAATTCTGGACACCTCTTCTCATCCTAAAGGGCTAGTAGCATGTGTATTTTATATATTTTATATATATATATGTATATAAAATATTATTTTACACTTTGTAAAATAAGTGAAATGACTGGATTTTGGATTTTGTAACATCCAAGAGAGTTATAAACCTTGATGTCCTTTGTGAATCAAGGAGAACTGGGACCAGATACAGGCTCACGCAGCAGCCTGTAGAGCTGGAGGAGGTATACTGGAGAAATTGTCCACTTGCCGGAACTACTCCTCTGTCCGCAGCTCCCCATCCAGGCCAGAGCCAGGGGCAAGGAGAGGAGGTGGGATGTGACGGCCCGGCTTCCCTCTGGGCGGGATGCTCACAGGCCCTGACTGCTCCACCCTCTGGCTGGGGGTGCAAAAGGGGTCGGCAGTCAGGAACCACACATTGAAAAGCAGCTCGGAGAAGGCCCTTTAAGAAGCAGACTGTCTTCTCTGAGATCTGCTCTTACTGAAGTGGATCAGTGATGAAAGTAGCCAAATCTGAGCATCAGAAGACCACCCAGTGTACCTGATGCATGATCTCTGTAGTTCTGAGAAG